TTTCGTTCTTATAAAAGCACGGATGACCGCGATTGGCCCATATGTTGTAGTCTTTGGGACGCTGAGTCGACTGGTTTTGGTCCGAAAAGGCTGCGATGCGGCGTTCCTCCTTTATTCCCAATCGAACATGGTTGAAGAAGCGGTCACGTGCTCCTGCGTACACCAGTCACCTGGTCACCGTGCCTGCAGGGTACAACTTACTAGCCTGTTTGACCTTTTTTGGGTGCAGTCCTGTCACTCGAGTTGAACCCGAGTTGAACCTTGGTGTGAAAGTAATTAGTTGTCACCTGCTGGCGTGGTGACCAGGTGATTTGGGCACCCAGGACCACGTGACCGCTTCTTCAACCATGTTCGATTGGGAATAAAGGAGGAACGCTGCATCGCAGCCTTTTCGGACCAAAACCAGTCGACTCAGCGTCCCAAAGACTACAACATATGGGCCAATCGCGGTCATCCGTGCTTTTATAAGAACGAAATGGCGCTTTTAGTGACATTTTGCATACAAATCCCCATCTCGTAGGGCGCAGTCACCCAGTTTCGGTGGAAGTGCGCGAGTTCGATTGGGATTCAAGTAGGAAGGGAGCGTCTCAGCTTCCTCGGACCAAGACCATTCGACTCAGCACCCCGAAGACTACAACTGGTGAAATTTTAATTTTTGCCTTAACTTCCCCTTTAATTAATAATACTTCCTCCGTATACAAAAACTTCGTGACTTTTTTGCACGGTGTTTTTGAGCAAGAACCTGCTCAACGAACGGTGCCAAAGGCTGTCATCGACAACCCACGTCCATGTCGAGGTGAGTTTGGTTGATCCCGAACAGCTTCTCCACGTACGCCATGCGTGTGAGGACGTTGCCGACAGAAACTCAAGAGTCAAATGAAAAAAAACTAACACTTACTTGCTCGAAACTGACACAGTGACGAAGTGTAGCTCGTGGCTGGAACACGAAGTCACGCGGCACTCGCTGCCCTGAAACTGGCCAGGCTCGTACTTCCCCATATCCAGATATCCAACTGGAGAAACTGATCTAAGTTTCTACTACATGTACACTGTACTCTCACAGTCATTTTCATATTTATTATGACTTGTAGTTACCGAAGAAGAAGAAGAAGAAGAAGAATATCCATGATATCTACGCAGCGTGAGAACATCGATTTGTTTCGCTCGCACGGCAAGATGAAACATTTCAGTCGTCGTGCAACCAGCGCAGACTCAGGATCAGAATGTCGATGGCCTGGCTTTCTTCGCCTCTCTCCAGTCAGACGCCTCCTTTGTCGCCAAGGGGAATCGCAGGGACCTCCTCGAAGCCATTGTAGAATGCTTGGGAGGATTTTCCTGGCGAGAAAATGCGAAGCGTGGGGATGTGCTTGTACGACTCGTTTCACGGCATAATGGAGGTTGCGGGTTGGAACAACTGAATATAGTTGACACCGATTCGTACACAGCTCTAGAGATGAAGAGGACGTAGCCAAAGTCCAGCGTCGGATCATCACTGCAGGTGACAAGAATCTGAACGAAATGCGAGCGGAAGCAGCGACTGTTGGCGATGCGGAGTCAGCGTCGTCAGGTGACAATGACATGAGCGACGAAGACTCTGAAAAAACTCAATCTCATTCGTCTGAGTTGCTTTTTTCTTTGTATATAGCTTGTAAACAGGTTAGACAATGCCACGAGTGTTATTCCAAGTCAAACGGAACAATTTCAGAGCTGTGCGCAGCTTTCAAAAAAAGTCACGAAGTTTTTGTATACGGAGGAAGTAATAAAAGAAGTGAATAAAGGAGACATAATAATAATAATAAGACTAGCAGAGGAAGACCACGGATTCTACTGTACACTGTATAATATGTACCCCGCACATAATGTACTCTGAACCTTCTAGTCTCTACAGCTGGGAGAAAGTGATCCGGCGCGGCGCTGACGGGGTTGGCCCAATATCCTGGTCTGATCGCTGTTATAGCCTATGACATACCGGAACCGTGTCCGCATATTGCATGCTACCCTTTTTTTCCGACTCCGCAAACGTGAGCTTTTTCATTGCTTCCCAAAAACGCAATATGTTTGCAAAAGCCGGTATCTCACAGCTTTGCTTGTCTTTGTGTGGCTGGACGTTACATTCGGAATCGTGTTGATTTTTAGGTAACAAGACTGCACTGCTGGGTTTGATCATAGTACCCCTTCTATTCTCCTTTTTCTGCATTTTGAAGAAGAGACACGACTGCCATAACTGTAAGCAGTACCGGACTCCAACAAAACTAGTATATCACGTTTACAGCACAGGTGTTGCGATGACTTGCCTGGGATACTGAAGTCACGAGTCTTTACAAGAGGACAGCATTTGGCGGAGCAGTGACAAACAAAACCCTGCATTGTGACATCTACTTCAGCACTTCCATTGCCAAGCACTGTGACTTCACAAGTTACAGAATTAAAACGGGCTGAATTCAACTGTGACCCGGCAATCATGGCACTGAAAAACTTGAGCGAGGTATGCATGTAGTGAATTTGAGTGATGATGAAGTGAACCACAAGGGCTTGTAACCTGATGACACCCGCATGTACAATTGACTCTTGGTATGAGAGGCTGCATGATACTAGTACACAGTGTATCATGCAGCCTCGTCACAGTACAGTGCATGCACCTCATGCATCACTCTTAAACACCCAATCATTATGACCAGGCAGTCCCCAGGGAACAGAATCATGGGCTGATGCTGTGTATCACGGTCACAAGGTAGTCACAGTGTAACTGCCTCTCCCTTTGGGTGGACACTATCTGTAGTGCTGGCCCTTGAGCCAAGCCTACAAGTAAGTAACATAGTTGGGGCATGCAAGGACATGTACTATGATATTATTATGAACAAGTTCATACATCGTGTACACTATGAAGTAGCAATATTTGTACCATCATCCTTCAATGCGACGGACCCCACGATAGGTGGTCAGCCTTTGGGTCATCCCATAAAGTTATTATCATTATTAATAGATACTGAAATGTGCTCCATGGCGAGTCTAAGCACAGAGCATTACACGTGGACTGGAAGACGCAAGACCATTGGCATTGGGAATCTCTGTTGCAACTCAGAGTTGCAACAGATTTCCGAATGGTCCCCTCCCACTCCCTTGCCCACCACATCATTGGAGCAATTGTGGATTACCCATACATTTTTCTCCTGCTAACTCAGCTGCAGTTAAGTTAGTTACTGGCTTTGTCACTATGGGTAGCAGTGTTAGAGCCCCAGAAGATCCCTAGCTTCTAAACATGATTATGTGTTGTGTCACATGCTGCCAGTGCCACAACAAATGGATAATGAAGCCCCATCAGGGATGGGAAGGTTTCAGACTAGTAGTGTTATAAAGTAAGTTAGGTTTCCTTGCACATGTAATCACTCCAGCCAGCCATGCAATCAGACTAGTCTACAGCATGACTTGTAATACCGTATTTCCGCAAATAAAAGGCCGTCCTCGTATACAACGCCTTCCTCGTATACAAGGCCGGGGCAGGGGGCGATTGAAAAAATAAAAGACCGTCTCCGATTAGAAGACCGGGCCTACTAAATGAGTCTTTGTTCTTGTGTTAAAAATAGAAGACCGTGCTCAAACTGTGGGAAAAAATAGAAGACCGTGCTCAAACTGTGTAGAAGAAAATGGAAGAACGGGGGTAAAACTGTGTGGCGAGAAATAGAAGACCGGGGGTCAAACTGGGTTGAAAGAATAAAAGACCGTCCTCGAATACAAGACCGTCCTCGATTATAAGGCCGGGTTAGGACGAGGTTGAAAAAATAGTAGACCGGCCTACTATTTGTGGAAATATGGTAATCTTGATGTTGGCTACTGAGCTGGTGATGTGGACTACACATTTCAAGTGTTACATGACTGTGCTGATTGGATGATGTGTGGCTGCCAAACTTTGGAACAGTCAACAGGAGGCATGTAGAAAAATGTACATGTAGTATACTAGTAGTCGTTGTGTATGGCCCATATGCATATGCAGGACATTGTGTATGGCCCATATGCAGTAGTCATTGTGTATGGCCCATATGCAGGACGACCAGTATACTATTACATGTTACAATGATGCTCTGCTATTTCCAGGAAGCATGTTGTGCCAATTTCCCCCAAAAATCACTCCCAGTAAAGTGTACTATCATCTCAGTTTAAACATGTTGCTGCCCTGGGAGTCGTGCCCAGCCTGCACAGCGGGGAGTTGACTCTACTCCCTGCTGCACCAAGGTATGCTTGGCAACAAAGGATCAGGCAAAGCCGGCAATACGATCGACTTGGGTTTAGTGTAAACTACAACAGGTTTGTGGAACACTACCGGCGTGCGGTACATGTTGTTCACAGTCAGACGTCAGTATACGTACAGCTGGATTACACTGCACTATTCCATACCCTACACACATGTAACATACTTCACTCACCCATATCATGTCAGGTTTAACCGGTATACCAAGAGTAGACTACATGGGGGGGGGGGGTATGTACTCTTGCCAGTCTTGGTTATACATGTAGTTCGGACTGGTATCACCTCTTCTCTGCTGCCGTGCTGGCCAGATTAGGCTGTGCCTGCATGACATTGTGCACACATGTATGATGATGACAGCATTATTATCACAATGCGGAGGATTCAATACAGTGCACTGGGACCTACAAAATACAATTACCGTGAGTAGTTCTACGATCACAGCCATTCTTGACAGAAGAAATCACATGTGATGAAGTGGGCCCTGGGGAGCTCTGTGGTCCGGTTGCCAGTGTTGGAATGTTGGACTTCCAAAAGCATTCCGATCGACGGACCATAACCGTTGGCCCAGGAGTGGTGGCACTTCGCCTTGGTGCATTGCAAGTCCTTTGTTCGCCGCGACAAGCCGTTGCTCATCGCAGCAGGCGGCACACCTCGTACCAACAATAGTAGGTCTTGGAGTGAGTGCGGACATTCAACTGGTAACAAGAGAGAGACCATGGAAACACTTACGTGTAAAGGAGTTGTTCTCGAGTGCGAGTGGTGGCCACTTCAAAGCGTAATGTCCAATCAATGCAGGGTTGCCATTGTCCAACTGGCCTCCTGGTGATGAGCGACACAGCGAAGAAACAACAGTCACTAAGCTTGTCCGGGGAGTAATGCTCGCCGCGGAGTGGGGGCGCAGTCATCATGGTAGTGTCACAGTGTAGGGGACCTATCGGCTCCGATAACGACGGTTACGTGGAAAGTCGGAAATGTCTCGGACGACAAATAACGACGGAAGCAGTTGTTAGTGAAGGAGCGGAATCAATCTCCTCCGCCCCGATGGTAGTTTATCCGAACCTGTCGTTGTGTTTCAGATACGGAGATAGGCCATGGCTTGGTCATCTGCGGCCATGAAGGTCGTCGTAGCAGGTGGATTTCTGATCCTATGCTGCTCACCCACTATTTGCGTGTCTCGAGGGGCACCCGACAGCGTGGCGGCACCACAATCGTAAGTGTAGATCTACCGTCCAAGGATGTACAATACAGTATGTACATTGTAGGTGTTATCTTGATGTACTTCGCCGGTAGGGTCATGTCATGTTCACATAGGATAGCAGAGTAAGTAATGTAGCCTAGGAAAGTAGGGAAGATGGGCGGAGGAAAGAACAATAATGATGCGTACAATAGGCATACAATAGAAAGACTGCCATGCTTCAATCCTATCTCCGATTCGATTGATTCAATTATGGCGCCTCGTCGGTCCTAACTTTAGACCTAAGAGATTCCCAGTAGGCAAGAAAACTGGCTGTACTTGTACTACTGTACCACAAAACCGACTGAGGGGGGGGGGGGGGGGGGTGGTACAGCTTCACCTCCACAATCGGATCCCAAGCAGGGTTTAGCCTGACCTGTCAGCTAAAAATCAGCCACTATTACTTGTAACAAACTCCATTGCAGTCACCAACACATTACCTAGTCAGGCTGAGCACTCACTCACTTGATATCAGGGTCTCTTTGCTGCGAGTATCTCTCTACTGATGATATCAGTGATTCACCACATTTTCTGGCATGGCCCTGATCCTCAGGGTGAAGTTGTGACATTAAAGTGACTACTAGGCAATCAGCAAAGAAATGGAGTAGATAACTTATGCTCAGTGTCTGCTCCAGGATTTCAAACCAACCGGGTGCACGTTACCTGGAACAACTCTTCCAACCGGATCAGAACCGGGTACGTTCAAGCGTCGCTAGCCTACTGCAAGTGCACTAGGGAGCCGCATATACACTGTATGTTAGGACACCCTGATGTACAATGTATATGTAGCATACATGCATGTGCTCCCAAACGGGCCACCTGTTCTTTTGCCAAACGGGTCCAAGTACCCCCCAACCGGGTCGCTGACCCGGGTGACCCGGCTCTGGAGCAGACACTGATGCTGTGAGGTTCAGTAGAAAAGCGAGCCAGCCTTAGATGTGTATGTGAAAGGAGGAAGAGAGGAGCCATGTCTCCATGTTACTGTTAGCACAAAAGCATGAACAGAAATGTTGTTCAGCTGGAGCCATACGTGTGAAGCCACTTGAAGCATGAAGACAAATCATATACAGTAGGTATCGGTTATAGCGTGGGTGTTTGAAAAACGACATTTGATTCTTATTGCCGATATTTCTTACACACGATAAATCACGTGTGACATATCATATGCACGTGTGACATCATACATGTACATGTACATGTATGCGCGCACGTTTGGCATGTGGACACGTACACATGATACACGTACACACGGATAAATCAGACTCGCGGTCATGCTAGGCGACTGCGGAGCAGCGGATACCAGAGAAGTCGGAAGAAAGAGTCCGACTGGACAGAAAAAGTGATTCTCCAATGCTCCCTTGGACATAACTCTCTTTTTGTGTTGAATATTATTTTATACCCAGCTCATATTAACCCCCACTAATTCCTGTGATCTATAACTGGTGAATGTATCTCCATATTCACCACTTTAACTTGGGGTATATACTTTGCTATATTACCCACTTAGAGGTTGTAACTTTTCAACTTTCAAGGGACTTAAAATTTTTCTCTCCAATTGAAAAAGAAAAAAATTGAAGAGAAGAAAGAAGTTTCAGCAGGAATCGAACCTAGAACCATAAGATTCCCAAGCACCTATCTTGACCACCCAGCCACCAGGGTGTTGATGCAGATGTTGGTTGAAAGAAAGGTCTTAGGTCTGGAACACGCAATACTACCTACACATAATAGTATACTATTGTATACTGGGATACTAAAATAGCTATTTCGGACCAGTATTTCAGGCCAAAAACGAAGCTAGGTATAAATAGAATAAACACCTCTGTCTTGTGTTTATGGGAATATAAACACTGTCTATAAAAACCTCGGCTACGCCTCGGTTTTTATAGCAGTATTTATATTCCCTTAGAATCAACTCGTAAAAACTCCAAGTCAATCTCCCATTGACACAAACCTCGTTTATTCAACATAATCATCCTATCCAATAAAAACAGTTCATAAAAACAGTTCATAAAACAGCTTTTTAGGATCGGATCCAGTCCGCATAACCAAGAGAGCTAGCTCCCTTGGCTGCTGTTGGAATATGCAAGAATGGGCCTTCCAGATAAGGTCTAACAAGGAGCAGTGGCTATAGTTATGAAATGAACACCGGTAACCATGGGGACAGACCACACTCTCATTATAGATACTGGTTATAAATAGACCAAATAAGGAAAATGATCTGATAGCCTATGAAGAGTAAAAGAAATTGAACCAATGACAACAAATACTCGTCCAGCACACGAGTTGTCATAGCAACACAAATAACAGCTGTCCACTAATTTTGTTGTTGAAGATTGAGTAGGAGTTTTTACTGGTTGATTCTAAATACAATAAATGCTCCGGCCTTGGGTTTATGACCAATAAAAACTAATTATAAAAACCTCGGGGGACCTCGGTTTTTATAATAGTTTTTATTGGTCATAAACCCTCGGCCTCCTCATTTATTGTATACATAAACACTACGACATCGGTGTTTATTCTATACGTATTGAGTATGCACAGAGCACAGAGCACAGATGTTATTACTACAGGCGATACACTTTGCACTAATCTGGCATATTTTGCTACACAAAATCCATTCTTAGGGCCGATATATTCTACTATGCGATAATACTGCTTGTAAGAATAAATATACACATAAAATATGTGTTATGATTATGAAAAAATGAGTGTTCATTCTTGTAAGCAGTATATTCTTGTATACGACCACACTATAACCGATACGCACTGTACATGTAATGATATCGTCTATTAAAGTACATCCCTGTACAACCAGCTAGCACACGCATACACTGCACGTATTGCACATATTGCACAACGATGTTTGATGTACATGTATGTGTGTGCTAGCTGCATGTACAGCACTGTACTGAGCTGATATTACTTTGTCTTCACGCATATTTTGTCTTGACGCTTGGCTTCATAATTGTAGTTCCAGCTCCTCAGCAGTTTTTTTCTATTTTGCACTAACATATTCACAAAGAGACATATGCAGCTCTCCGCTTCTCTTCGTCCTTCTCTCCCAGTACCCGGCTTTCAACAGTACTCCTACAGCCCCCCCCCCCCCCCCCCATACACACACTCACGCACCTAAGCTGACCTTGATATTTTGTCACATTCCTCATTTTAAAGCCTTTCTATTGCACCTCACACTATATCTTCTCCATTTCTTTGTCGGTTTTGTCTCTAGTTTCAGTGTCATAAGTTTGCCCTGTGCACCATTTGAAGTAAGCCGTGGTGGGAAAACAGCAAAACCTATCATTAGTTTGTCCCTTCAATTCAGTACACATGGATGTTTTGGATATAATAATCTGACGCCTGGATAGTTGACATTCGGATAATCAGCACTCTACTGTCCGTCAATTAGTACCTGAATAAGCGATGCAGAGACAAGAGTCACAAGTTTTAGTGCGATCAAAAGAAATAAAAAAACGGACATTTAGAACGGAATAACAACAAGATATCACGAACTAGTACCAAGAGTACATAACCCCCCAGAGTGTGCAACGGCTGATCCAGCTCTGCATAGGGTCTTGGCCGAGCTAAGTCAGACCTTCTGATGTCATGCGTCCGCTCCACACTAGCGCGGGGCAGGGCGACTTTGTTTTTGAGTCGACAGTCTGGGGTTTGGGGTATTTTCGATAAAGAAAAGTCGTGCTGGAATGCACAAATTGTACGGGTGCTACAGGGTTGTGGTATTATCAGTATGTGTACCATCCTTGTGTCCTGCTCGCGACCGGGACGTGCCCGGCATCAGATCTGTAAGGTATTATGACGCAAAGATCCGATTACGCTCGACCCAGACCGTATGCAGAGCTGGATCAGGCGTTGCCCACTCCGGGAGAATATGTACTCTTGCTAGTACCTATGTGTTCTTAAAAAAATACTGCTGATTGGTGCATGATTGTCTATGAATGCTAATGTTGATTAGAACCGATATTGTGCTGATTGTATGATCAATACTGTTGTCTACAGGAAACGAGATCGGAGAGCTATCGATGATTGTCAGCCTAATTGTCCGAATTGTCTCAATGAGAACTGTACTTGTACTGAAAAGTAAGCAGCTTTCAGAACGGATGAAGTTTGGAGAAGGCTGGTCAGGTCATGGCTAGTTTGTTGGCATGCCGCTGAGTTTGTGCGCAAGTTGCACATGAGAATAATGTTACCTGTAGTTAACAGAAAATGAATCGGTGCCGTTTCTTGAAGTACATATCCTGTGAGCATGCATAGCAGATTGCTCAGTTCCCTTTTTCACAGAGTGCTCAATACCCCAGAACATGGTTCAATTTTAAGGGACCACCCCACGTTGCAAGCAAAAGTGGTCCTTAAAGCTAGGTGGTATTTAGAACAAAGTCCCATACATTCGTGGCATATCCAATCGTGCACATACTTCCATGTACTCATACAGTCGACCTACCCTTATAACGATATTTGCGTCACACCAAGAAATATTGTTATAAGGGTAATATTGTTATAGGGGTAACTGGTTCATTTTATACACATACGTCATAATGCATGGTTTTTGTTCATTTTTTACACTCTCCATAGCATAAAAACTGACATACATGCACATTATGTGCACAGCAAGGTGCCTACTGGTACCCCATTGCATTCCGTTATGTCCCAACGACTTATCAAGTGAAACTTGCCCTACCTGGATAGTAGGCTCTACATATTCCCTGCTAGATATTGTTATAAAATGGAAAATGTTGATTGGTCAGCCCATTTTATATCGTTATAGGGGTAATATCGTTATAGCAATATTGTTATAGAGGTAAGGCATTGTATACACAAGTCAATGGAGTGATTTGGTTTGGCAGAAAAATATCGTTATAAGGGTAATATCGTTATAGAGGTTATCGTTATAAGGGTAGGTCGACTGTATTGACAGGTGTGGAGCATAGAGCACATTCGTGCAGGCAAAGCACCCATGAGTTCCACCCCTCACTCAAGTGCATGCAGCGCATCCTGCACTGTCACTCCCGGTGTTGACTGAATGCACTGTCACTCCCGGTGTTGACTGCATGCACTCCCTTATGTTTGTTAGGCTTGTTTTAGGTCGCTGTATTCAAGTCAGATATGGCACTTGGTAGATCTACACTCAAAGTCGGTTGCTGGTCGCGCAACGCAGGTGGTCGCTGTTCTTGGTGCTATTTCTATGCAAAACTGCCAGTGCATGGAAAACCCCTGCTGACATGTAGGGGCTGGTAGGGCCTAGACCAGTTGGCATACCACTTTCGTCGCTCATGTTTTATCCATGTTTGTGCATTGGCTCCTCACTTCTAGATGCCGGTCCGGTTGTGTGCCAAACATGAAAGGAGAGAAATGTAGCGAAGTATGCGATTGCGGAGATACGATGGTCTCAAATGGGTGTTTACTGACTGGTCAGTGTATATGTCTGAAAGGTGCAAGGGTAAGTCGGATTCCAGACAGGGATGTGGACTTTAAAAAAAGTTTATTTGGATTGGAATATAGACCAGCTCAATGTCATTCTTGCTGTGCTGCATTGCATACCAGAGCCACTGCAAGTACAGTACACTGTTGCCAGCCTCTTGCATGCACCACATACCACATACCATAGACTCTAAGTGTCACACATCACACCATACTCACACGTACAGGAGACCATGTAATATTATGACATCAGACCTTGGACTTGACGAGAACCATATACGACAACGTACGTATCTAATAGACGATCCGCACCTGTGTTACACTTTGAATGTTAGATGAATTGCCGATCAGTCTTTGCTGCCCGACTATGACCATGTCACCCGACTCCCATGAACTGCACTGTCTGCTTGTGTCAGTACACTGTGGCATGGTAGTACCAGTACAGTGATTTGATTTGACTTGATTTGGTCCGACCCCTTTGGACAGAATCCCTTCACGAGACGTTCGGATATGAAGTGTCCTGACACTGGAACGGACAGACCACACTAATGATAACCATGTCATTCCGTGAAATCTTTGAGGAATCTGGAAACACACTGTGTACTCGCATTTAAAGGCCTATGTGAATTTCCAAACAGTCCATGCATGTGTGTACATACCGTAACAATCATGTGTACACGGTGTGCGGCAGTACACTGTAGGCATGCACACTGATTGCACAGTTCATACACTACCATACACCCCCCCCCCCCCCCCACAGCCTTTCGGCCAAGTTTCCGGATAGTTGTTCGGACACCTGCATGTAATCGCAGCTGTAATGCATGTGCATGGTTTAGGGTGGCTGCCATTGTAGTCTTTCCCAACTGCACAAGCACACTCATACATGCCCGTGTTCTCTCAGTCTACTACATGCGCCGCTTTCCACTGTGGTCCCATATGTGCACCTCTGCTGCAAAGCACAAATGGAAATAACTACTAGTAATTCCTTTCCAGACGGTGGATGTTGCCGCGGGAACAGTGCTACTGAACACGTAGAAACTGCACACACTGCTTGCAGCCTTTTATAGTGTTTGTTCAACTATCAACTCTCAATTGATGCCGAGTGTTTGGTGTGTAATTTGCAGAATAGAAATGGAGATAGCAATCAAACTTGCGAACCGTGCCCGCAAGATATGTATGGCGTGAACTGCGAAGAGCAGTGCAGATGCAAAGCAGGAGAAATGTGCGACCCAGAAGATGGTTGCATCAGCACCGTGCCACCAGGGCGAGCAACGACTGCAGGCTGCACGGGCAGAGAAGGGTAAGTGTGCAGGCGATTCACGTGCACATTTCATTTTTGTTTTATTCGCCGCTTTAAGAGCTGCATCTGCACCTTGATCCCTAGAGGGTGGTGACGTTCCTACGGATGGAGGAAACTCGGCCTTCAGCTGAGTCTCACACAAACCGTGAGTTTGTATTCACCGCCTGACCAGGGTCCAATGGCAACCGCAGCCTTTGAGAATGTAAGAGGACGTTAGCCAGTCATGGCAACAAAAGACAAGCGAAGGAGGAAAGATAAACGGACAAGGTGGAGATGGGGGAAAGCACCATCAATGACGCTGCACTGGGAAAATAATATGCAGTACTGGCATGAGAGTGTACCGGCACCGGTATGATATACTTGAAGTAATTGGAAACAAGAACACGCCATATCTACGCAGTATATTGCACTACATGTACATTCATCAGTGTGATGAGGGGGTGCTATTTCCAGAGCAATGTGGGGCATCGCCAGCACGACTGCAATCACAGAACATGCAGCTATCGCGGCTCCGTTCATCGCATAATCCCAGGCCCGATCTATTCTCGAACGTCCACACGTCACCAATACCTGACTCAACACAAATGCAAGAAGTAATTTCTGCCCTCCTTGCCTCTCCGATGCACTGTATCACTTTACTTTAGGCTTTAGGTGGCAGTTTCAAGGTTCAACGTTCAACGTTCAAGTTGTGTGTGTGTGTGTGTGTGTGTGTGTGTGTGTGTGTGTGTGTATATGTAACGCAGGATGTGGTCGGCAAGGTCTTGGCGAGTGTCCTTCAGAGAAGGCTGCAGGTATTCGCAGAGGAATTTCTCCCTGAGTCTCAGTGCGGGTTCCGGCGAGGGCGTGGCTGCTCTGACATGATCTTCACCGCCCGACAGCTCATGGAAAAGTCAATTGAACATCAGGCCAAGGGATTTTTTGTGTCTATCGACCTGAAGAAGGCCTATGATTCAGTGCCTAGGGGGTGTCTGTGGCAGGTCCTCGGCCGTGCGGGAGTACCAGAAAAGCTTATCAACATCATCCGGTCATTCCACGACCCCATGTCAGCATCGGCGCAGTTCAACAACATATTATCAGACCCGTTCAGCATTGGCAATGGTTTTCGCCAGGGGTGCTCTATGGCGCCGGTCCTTTTTAATATCTTTATGTGGGCCGTGATGACCCAGTGGCAACACCGCGTCAGGAGAGTTGACGGGGTTGGCTTCGAGCTCCGCTCAGCATACAGCAGCGATCTATACCGTAAACCCCGCCGTGACGACCAACACCATTGCCTAACAGATTCCCGGTTTGCTGACGACTCTTGTCTATTCGCTACGACTCGGTCTGGAGCAGGGGCAGCATTGTGCTGTCTTCACGAGGTGGCGTCGGGATTCGGCTTGACCATCAGTGCAACGAAGACTCAGTTTGTAGTTGTTGGCCCCGGCATCACGCCTACTGACCGCGCTCCCCTCCAACTTGGTCAAGCGGAGGTGGAATGCGTACCGCATTTCAAATACCTCGGTTCTGTAGTGGACAGCGGTTGCCGCTCGTCCCGGGACATCGCCGCAAGGATTGCCCAAGCCTCCAGGGCCTGCGGTGCTCTTCGGAGGTCTATATTCTCCAATCTACATCTGCTGATGCACACCAAGCGGTGCGTATTCAATGCTTGTGTTCTGTCCCTGCTGTTGTATGGCTCTGAGTGCTGGACGCCCCTTCAACATGACCTGCCGAAGCTCTCAACCTTCAGCATGAGGTGCATCCGATCCATCCTCGGGGTCTCTCGAAGCCGGATGTGGGATGAACACATCACCAACGAAGAGATGCTGGTGCGCTGGGGAGACTCCGAGACGATTTAAGACAAAATTGCACATCGGCGGTTGGAGTGGTTTGGGGCATGTGGCGCAGATGCCGGACAACAGCATCCCAAAACAGGTACTGTTTGGCTCCTTCTTGCAGCGTCGCCCAGCACATGGCCCACGCCGCAGATGGAAGGACTGTGCTGTCCGGGATCTACGTGCCCGTGGCGTGGAGGCATCATGGTATGATGTTGCGTGTGAGTCCCGCGCGGAGTGGCGCAGCACCTACCAAGAGCCTGACAATGTGCCTGAGCCTCCGCCCCGAGTGGTATGTACGGTATGCGGACGGGATTTTGCACGGAAAGGAGACATGACCCGGCATAAGTGTCTGGAGGAGCGTGCGCGGCCTGTGTCTGAGCAGCGGGGCGCCAGTCAGTGCGGGCGGTGTGGGCGGTGGTTGAGAAGCCGCGGTGGCTTGGTCCGGCATGTGTGTGCCTCAACGGTGGATGCCGCAGTGCCACCTGGAACTACCGGAACGTCGGCACCGGCGGAGGGATGTTGTGCCGCGCATTGTGACAGGTGTGGTCGCTGCTTTCGCGGTGTCCGGGGACGGGGAAGGCATCGCTGTTCAAGGGTGGCGCATAGACCAACAGCAGAGGAGCGCTCAGCCTTCCAGCACGTGTGCATATGCGGCAAGCGGATGCGACTACCCGTGCACCTGGAGCGTCATCGAGCGTCGTGTCCTCTCTCTCTCTTCTCAAGTTTCCCAGTGATGGGATCACGTGACCCTTTCGCGGCAGTGACTCTACAGGACAGGACAGGTGTATATGTGTGTGTGTGCCCCCCCCCCCCCCCCCCCGTTCTCCTGGGTGGTTACCAACAGCCAGTGCATGCCGGAGTATGTGGTGTGATGTGTGTGCGTGAAAAAAAATGAAAAAGACCAAAAAGTAGGGATTCACTGGCCAGAAAAGCCACTTCATAGCTGTGTGGTGTAGACCAGGCTGAATAGTGGTGGTCAATTCTTCAGCCTTGCAAGCTGTTGAATGGTGCAATCCCAGCACAAGCTGCTATGGCTTCTGCTGTAGCATCGCTATCATCGCCTCTGGCGATGGGCGTCCAATGGTCCAATGGTCCAATGGTGTGTGTGTGTGTGTATGCATGTGTGTTTGTCCATGTGCTTCAGCTGTATCGCAACACAAATGGGTGCGGAGACAAGCAAATGAGATTTTGAACCCCTTCCCCCCCCATATCATACTCAGCTGACTCACCTATGGTGAACTATAATCCGTTTGATTTTTTGTTGATCTTTGTTTGATCTCTGTCCTTGGCTAGGCCATGTGCAGTCCTACAACTGATACCTGTTGCGTTATCAGGCTATGTACAGCAAATCTACGTTATCTATACAATCATGTAATGTGCCACATCGACAGTCACACTCAATGAACCCCGACAGTCCTGTGACCACTGGGCTATGCACTGATGCAGGTTACTGCATTATCCATGGGGGGTTGGATTTCATTATCCAGGGGGGGTTGGATTTCATTAGCACGATATAGTACAAAACTTACACCGCACAGAAGGGAATTATGTGGTCAATTGATGTTCAAAATCTTAGGAGCTTGGCTGCTGGCTGCCACTGTCTTGGTTACATGTGTAGTTCCCCAATGGTTGGGATTGGAATGACATCACCTGCCAACGCTCCTCCACGGATGTGCCAGACCGATGCTGATTGCTCCGGTGAAAGCTGCCAGAGTGGAGCATGCGTGGCGGAGAGCGACTCCAGTGAGTAGGGCATGCCTTGCCAGTGCGTGTTGTCAGTTAGTTTTGCGCTTCGATAGACACGTGTACATGATCATGTGCACCAAACTCCTGTACTCGATGCACCCATGATCGTGTGTTAGCTCTACAGCCTGATTCTGCCGCTGGAGCCTAGGTTTCTGTTATTGAATAACGTTAGTCTGACTAGTCATGAGTTGTGTTGTGTTGTACGGGATCAAAGCAAGGCTCTAACTAATGGGATGATGTGTTTCACTTGTTCATGCAGGTGGTGATTCCTCAAAGACCATCATCATAGCTGTCAGTGTAACAGTCATCGTACTGTTGTTGGTATTCGTCACGGTCATTCTGCTCATACTACGGCGTGTGCACGCTATGCCCAGCACTACTCACCAAACACACGTCCATGTTCACAGTGCCACTTCGGCAGGTAAAGTCTATAGGGTTGCTGCTGGTAGCCTATTGTATCGCCTACAGGTATAATTATGTAGGTGTGCTGTATGGCTGCATAGCTGATTACGCAAGCAGTGGGGAACCACACCAAGTAGGTGAACGATAATAATATTATTATTAGGGCTGAGCCGGGTAGCATTTTCTTCGGGTATCGGGTTCGGGTAGTTTTCCACGGGTAGCACGGGTACCCGATCGGGTAATGCTTCCATGGTAACACCACAATGCACCCCTTCCCTTACACACTGGGTAGACATGCGGAGTATTACAAGAATGTGGACACGTGCACTGTGCATGATGTCATCTGCGACTTTGGGGTTTCGGGTACTATTCTGTACCTGTCTACCCGAGGTCCTCATGGGTACCCGACTACCCGTGCACACCACTAATTATTATGTTCATTGATATCTCACACTGATGCATGAAAGAAGGCATGATTGCTATAGCATGACATGGAGTGGATGTGATGAACGTTCTGTATGAGTCATGGGAAAGGGGCCCTATTCATTGCAGAGCCCATATGAGGGAATAGTGCAGGGTCCGTTCTCGGTCAGTTTTCATCAACATAAGTGTACTATTGAATGCTAGTTGATATCACTGAGAAGTCCATGTACTGAAGCACTGAGTACTCAGTACATACTTGGTCGACACTATCCAGACTGAAGAGAAGCTGCTCAGGCACGTTATTGCTGTTCTTTTCTCCTCTTCCATGATCTTCAGGATCGTACAATGATTTGATAGGAAAAACAGTAAGTCAACAAAACGTCTAAATTTTGTGTTGCTTACAGCGGTGCATAATAGCCATTCTGAATGGTCAAAACAGAGCACTGACAATGGCAAGTGTTTCGCAATCATTCGTGTTTAGCAAGTACATGTAGTAGAATTATTGTGTTTGCTCAAGATGCATATAACCATACAATTTTACGTTTTTGGGATTTTGAAGTACAATTGTGAATGGTCAAAAACAATTTCAAGAAAGTTTTCTATCAATTTGCAGAGATTATTCATGCTCTGTTGCACATATGCACATGTTTGATGTATTGCTGTGACAGCAGGATCCTTCAAAGGCCTACACTACCCCAAGGCGACTACAGGTACTGGACTAGTAAATAAGACAGTAATGATGGAATAACCTTTGCACGTGTGTCCACTTGTTTGAACAAGTAGGTCATCAGCTGCAGTATTCGGCCATTGGAATTTTCAAAGTCATGCCCTAGTCTGAGAAGAAGTTTATGTTTGTAAAGGCAAGTAAGTGAACAGAAGTGATGGGTTCACTTGCCGGACCCAGAGTGTAGGCATTAACGTTAGCGACTATGTACACTGTACCTGGTCCATGACACTTGTGTCGCCTGAAAAATGTAACCTGCCTGAGGTTTTAGTTTTCGGCAGAAGTACAATGTCATGCACCGCCGCAGTATGAGCAGGCTTAGGCTATATTTAAAGTAGTTTGCTGTTTGATCTTGTATTCAGCTCTAACCTGCGCTGTACTGTAGTACAGAACACATGCCCATCTTATGTCCGTCCTCTTTTTCCCCTTGTTGCCGTGTTTTGCACTACCACCATTCCCCTGCCAGAATATTTTAGCCATTGATTCTCTCGGACATGAGTTGTTGCATGGACTAACACAGATACAAATACATCCTGCTGTGTGCTGACTCTATTTTTGGTTCAGAACGGCGTCTGGGTCTCTGATGAGCCGGAAGACTACACAGCACTAGAGAGGGTAGGGCCCACGATATAGAGTCAAGGTTGTGAATGGCATGAGAGAAGTGTTGTTATCCGCGAGCTGTCATTATTCTTGAGGTTGAAAGCATGCAGTCAAATGGTTACGTGTAGGTAGTGTCACAAACGCGGAGTTGCTGAACCCGAGGTTGAGAAATAAAATGTGTGCGATGGCACCTGAACGAATCACTCTCTTCAAAATGTATACTCATAATACTACTTCTGAAGTAGTACTTATTTCTCTGTCTGCAGATAGTACTCTTCATACATCCTATTGGGTGCTTGTTTCTATCTTCTCACTGAAACCCCATTCTATCTTGCATGAGAAGCTACCAAGCAAAGTGTTGTGAATGCAGCTGAATGTTAGGCTTATTTTAGAAAGTACAAACGTAAGCCAGTGTACACTGTGCCAGTACAAGGTGCATGTGTTCATATATGCTCTTCATTGCAGCCTGATGAGCCACCTACATACACACCACTGTTGAAGATGCCGAGTGGACGGCCACCTCCGATGGTTGGAACCGTATGTATTGCAACATTGCGTACTGGACTATTACAGTATTGATATAAATGAAGTGATACTCAGTAGTCTCTTCCCATACACACACACACACACACACACACACACACACACACACACACACACACACACACACACACACACACACACACACACACACACTAAATTAGGGGTGAAAGGGGTGATCTCTGTTTAGCTGCTGATCCGTTAGCAAACGAGTACCCGTTAGTCGTGCACGACGGTACAGTACGGTATTATTAGCTGGCTTGTATAGTCGTACAGTTTGATGTATGGCTTGAATGTGTGGTCGGTTGTTCAATCTTGCTTCATATGACAATTTTGACTGTTTTGCATGTAGCGCAGTAAGTGCGCACGCTGCGATGGAGTGTACTTGCTGTGAATTGCATGACTTCACATGTCCTCCTGGCACGAAATGCGGAAGGCTATTGTATAGTTATAAAATACATACTGAGTCCGAGGTGTTTACGAGAAATAAAAAACCGACACAAAACCCGAGGCGAAGCCGAGGGTTTTGTGGAGGTTTTTTATAATTCGAGTAAACACGAGGACGAAGTATGTATTTTATTTAAATTATACTTATAAAAACCGATTTTCGTTTTGGATTTTCGTACCTATTTCGGCGCATGCTCGAACTTACTCCTCGTGTTTCAACTTTCTCCTCGTGTTGTTTATTTTGGTTAACGAGTGTAATGGCTTCTTCAACGTCTACTGGACGTTTTGCGTCCGTTTCTGAAGAAGAAAGGAAGAAACTTTTGGAATCAGCAGTTCCTAAGTCAACCAAAGTTGCAACGAAGTTTTGGTTGAAGGTGTTCAGCGATTTTTTGATGCAGGAGAGCTTGTCTTGTGATTTTGCTACTGTCGAAGACAAGGTACTGGCGGAAATCCTCGAAAGGTTTTACTGCTCCGTGAGAACTCATGACAAGAAGGAATATAAACGGGCCAGTCTAATAGCTGCAAGAGGAGCCTTGCAGAGAGAAGTCAATGACCGTGACCGGGGCTTCAATTTGAAGCGTGGCGTGTTTGTCAAGGCCAACAAGCTCCTCGATGCCGTCCTCAAGGACAAGAAAAAGGAGGCCGCGAGGCTCCTGTATGCCACAAGGAGAGTTTGTCTGATGGCGATTGGCTGCTCATCAAAGAATATTTTGCTGATGGGATGACGACAATGGACCCACGCAAGCTCTGCCAGTTTGTTTGGTTCTACATCACCACAGTATCGCCACCACAACCAGCCATGGCATCTAGTGTTTCGCCTCAGGGTGCTTTCCTCAGTGCAGGTGGATCGTCTTGGTCGAATGTCACAATCAATGTCACGCCAACCATGCCTGATAAGCCAAAGAAGCGCTTGAGCCTTAAGCGGAAGAAGAGGCCCAAGAAGGAAGACGAGGAGTGAGTAGCTCAATTCTCTCCTTTTGATCATATGTATGTGTCTCTCATCTTACCATTCTTGAGTGGACTATTTAACCTTTCCAGTTCAATTTGTGCTCTTCTGATCTTGCTCTGCATCTGTTTGTACTGTTTTCGTGAATACTCTTATCTCTTGTTCTCATCTACCCCTAAAAAGAGGTTTTTTATTGATGTATTCATGTAATGAATTCAGTTTAGCGTAGGCGCACATCTCGCAACTACGTATCTGCTGCGCAACAGCGCCCTCTACGGTTCTGGCCGCGGCACTTGTTTAGCGCGCCTTGCCGCGACCGGCAAGACCGCCTGCTGTGCATCACATTAATTTATGCGTACGCCATCACAATAATTAATTCAGTTTTGATCGGGTCCGAGTCCGCAACGTGGCACATCTCCTTGCCATTCTCAGTTTTGAGTCTTCTCTGCTTTGGCTCATGCCCGACTTGCATCCTGCTGCCTTTGTCTTTTGCTGACCCACCATCCCACCACTAACCATTAATACTACATTGCATCATTCCTACTTCAAGTACAATAAACCTGGTGGCGAGTCACTCATAACTGGTCTGCCTTTCTATTGCGGCATTATGGCCTTATGGTCCTGCCTTTCCATTGCGGCAATCACAGCCTCCGGGCTTCTGCCTTCCTGCGGCAATCACAGCCTCCGGGCTTCTGCCTTTCTGCGGCACTCGCAGCCTCACGGGCTCGTGCCTACCTTGCGGCAAAGACCAACCAGTTCCTCGTCACCAGTACTTACCCAACACAACCTAGCCTTATTCGTGTGGTGTATTCTTGTCTGCATGCCGTCTGCGTGCGCGGAATGCTAAACAGGTTTTTTATAGCCGGCAGGTTTTTTATACAGGTTTTTTATAGCCACCAGGTTTTTTATACAGGTGTGTATGAAGTATAGAAACTTCTAACCCTACACGACAATCAATGGAGGTTTTTATAAGTATAATTTAATAACTGTTACTATTGGCTGCTAAAGGGTACCCGCCTGTTAAGCCACGTACCCGTTTGGAACCTTAAAGGGTAACCGGTTCACCCCTACAGTGACTAAATAACTGCAGTTGGAGGAGTCCAACTGGATTTCTAAAAGGTCTGCATAACTTACTGTAAGACATGTATATATAACGAGGAAGCAAATCTAACGTTTTAACGGATGACATTTCTTCGTTATAATAAGATCCGTTGAGGCCATACTGCTTCATATATGCTGTGTGTGGATATGGCAGAATACTGCAAGATCGTTAACATATCTTCTCGTTAACCTATGAATTTTGGACAATCGTTAAATTTGCGACTCGTTATAATAACATGTCTTACAGTATAGGAGCATTGTGAGGACCTAGTACTGTAAACTGCCTAATATTCGCCACAGATGAATGTTCGCTATTTTCGCGAGACGAGCGTAACGCGAATATTAACCATCGCGAAATCTAACTTCAACAGTGGGTGGATGTAAGTGGCCCCAGTGTTTCGCGAACTTTTGCCGTCGCAAACTCGCTGGTTCTAAGAAATGGCGAAAACTTAGTGACGCGAATATTGGGCGGTTTACAGTACATGTAGTACTTTCCAAACCTCACCTCAATGAACAGCTCAATGAACACCTCAATGAACAGCTCAATGAACACCTCAATGAACAGCATACACGTGTAAAGACAAGCACTGCTGCATCGATCCGCTGTGCATGACATGAGCGTATCAGATAATTATAACAATACAAAACAATTGTATTAGCACATTAGAGCTTGCGGTAATGTAGGTTAACACATTGCACAAGCCACCACTTCACACGCGCTCCAGCGGCTTCCAAAGAGCCCGCAGATCCCACGCTATTCATTGATGCATGTCAAGTAACACGTACATGCACGCTGTGGTGGCATGTAACATGCGTACGCCGGAACTCACCTGAACTCGCCAGCCAACCAGCCATATGCGGCTGCAGCACACATCGGAGCTTGAACCCGTAACGCATACACCATACTTCGCGCTGGCCGTATTGCTACTTCATATTTGCTTTGCTTGGGTAGTGAGAAGAACACCGGTTTGTTCCTTTCTCACCCACCCACCTCTTCCCATCTATGAATAATATTGATATCCTTGATTCAACACAGGTATCATAATTCATACAAGACGAAAATAAATAGGAGTGCTGGGCCAGCTATCTCCTCTCATCTGGCAATTATCACGGCCTTCGGCCATCACACTCATACTCCCACACTCCTGCCTCCTAACGGGCATTGCACTTCGTGCGTGGGCCGTCCACACTCCGTCCATTTCATGGGCGCCCATCTCATGGGCTGCACTTTGTGCGTGGACATACATACACACTATCATACAGGCCGTCCACACTCCGCCCAGTTCATGGGTGCCCATTCATGGGCTGCACCTCGTGTGCGTGGGCCGTCCACACTCCGTCCATTTCATGGGCGCCCATCTCATGGGCTGCACTTTGTGCGTGGACATACATACACACTATCATACAGGCCGTCCACACTCCGCCCAGTTCATGGGTGCCCATTTCATGGGCTGCACCTCGTGCGTGGACTATCCTACATGATTATCACATGCCAGATTCGGTTGCCCAGCACTCCATGAATCCTCCATATGATGTGTGCTCTCCACTGGTCTGCAATAGCGAGTGCATGCGTGTTAATGTGTATGTGTGTGTGTGTGTGTGTGTGCGTGCGTGTGCGTTCCACCCATGCTGTGCTTGCTTCCAGAAGCTGGTTACGGTTCAAGATGAGAGCGAGGAAAACAGCGGTGCGGCGTATGCACATGCACAAGTCATCACGGTACGAATAATAATAATAACACAATGTATGGTGCATACCACAAGGCTCTAGTCGAGGGACAGCACCATACATGTAATGCACCATGCACTGATGTGCAGCACTGAGATGCGCTCTGGTCAGCATGATTCATGTCATGATGCTGGCCACAGCGCATTTCAGTGATGCACAGCAGTAGTACACTGGTGCATTGCATTCTGATCGCAACACACTAGCTTGGCTGGGGCACACCAGTAGATGGCGGTGAACACACGGTACTTTACGCATACTGCACACTGCATACCATGGTAGCTTGTGACCAGAGCAGTTCATGCCTGTCACCATGTACGCATTACACACTACCGGCATCTAAACGGGCAAGCCTAGCATAGAGCGCATGTCGCTTCGTATGCACATAAACTCCATCCACTTATTATCTCAAGGCTCCCAGAAGTGCAGTGAAACACATACTTGTAGTTACAGCCAAACTCTATTATGTCTTACCTAGTTTTTGCATCATGTTATTTGCAGCAACATGAAGAGCCATGCTATCGAGTCCTGGAGCTGCCGCCCATCAAAGACATTCCACCACCTGTTGCCAAGAGGCAGGACATGTCAAGAACACTGCCACAGAATGCTGCTTTAGGCTATGCACAACTCGAGAAGGTAAGATCATACAATGCTTGAGCATCGTTTTGTACTGCAAAGAGGCTATTTGCAGATCAATGGCCAATGTGATGTTAAAAGTATTGCGGCAGCTTCCATGCCTTACCCTGGGAAGACTTCCTGTGTAGCAGTCACGTAACCAGGTCCTGTGTGTGTGTGTGTGTGTGTGTGTGTGTTTGCTGTGAAATGTCACCCCACCAGGACAAGCCAGTCCTACAAGCCACGCGCAGCATGAGTGTCACCTCTCTCCACGAGAACAAGAACAGAACACGGCGCTCATCCTCGCAGGCGCCCATGGCTACAAGCAAGAGCGTGAAAGCAAGCCTGCCAAGCCCTGCTGCTAATCAAGAGGCGGAGAAGACCTGGAAACTAAAGGCGACACAGCAGCATGAAGAGGTTTGAGCACGACGAAAAGTCCTTTCTTCTGTAGACTAATCCGTTATGCGTAAAGCATGCAGCACCAGCCTTAGTTTAGTGATCTACAGCATAAGGGCTTTGATTTAGCACGTAAGACATTTGATATTGACTACGTCCTTCTGATGCATTTTTCACTGACATGGGCTTTTATTATATACAAGCACATCATACCAGTGATTTGATCCTTTTGATTATTCACGACACAATTACTTTCCAGAATCCACACCCTTCGCAGTCATTGAATGTTACAGTGTTGATTGTAATAATGTTATTGCTTTGATTTCATGATATCACAGAACATTAGTAAACCAGATTCATTGTGCTAAAATATGATCACCGAATAACAAAGCAAGTTAGTAAAAAATGATGAGCTACAACCGTGTGTTTAATAGAATTACACCTGAAGAGACAGTATGGTCTACTTGCTCCCAATAAGCCAGTGAAATGTTCAAGACGGCATAAGGTGGCAGGCACTGTGCATCTCTCACTAAGGAATCGTCTAAGGTTGTGACATAGGTTTGCTTCACTCTAGAAGAACGGCTGCTGGCTTACCATCCACCAGGGGAGCCGTTCCGTGCTTCAGGTCAAATTCTCGCCGCAGGAATGCAGTTAGACTGCCGCTCATAAGCAGGATCTGGGCAGAAAGAAGCGGTGAAGCGAAACTACAAGTTGCATGCGTGCTAACAAAAATATCCAATGGATATCTCCAATAAGACTCATGGCATACAAGCATTGCCCTAGATTGGTCGTCTGTGCAGCCCGGCACGGTCTCTAAACACAAGTTGGACTGTAGTAGCTGAAAGAAAGTTTTCACTGTCATCACTCTTACCTTCCACATAGTGTGTGTGTGTGTGTGTGTGTGTGTGTGTGTGTGTGTGTGTGTGTGTGTGTGTGTGTGTGTGTGTGTGTGTGTGTGTGTGTGTGTACAGTTGCAAGACAAACGACTTACAATATTCTCCAAATAAAAATCATTCTCAAGAAAGTACTTCGAAGTAATGCACAACACAATGCTTCATGTGTAAACTATCCTACTGTGAACGGGTCAGCTCGAGCGAATCATGATTCAGAATGACTTGGTATTTCCTATGTTATATGGGATTGCCCTAGTAAAACGATAAAATACTACTACTACTACTACCAAGAGTACATAACCCAAGAGTGTGCAACTCCAGCTATGGGGTCTGCGACGGCAGAACTTCACATCACGTGATGAACCCGTGCACTCTAGTGCATGATAGATACTGGGTTGTACGCAGCCCAGCTTTGGGTACAACTCTCTTGTGGTCACTTTGCACTGTTTGCCAGCATAACCTTTTGAACCATGTCACGTGATGTGAAGTTCTGCCGTCGCAGCACAGCATAGAGGTTGTGCAGGCAGTTGCACACTCTTGGTTATGTACTCTTGCTACTACTACATAATGCAGTCCACCTACAAGCTCAATAGCTATGCTCATTTTATAGTCTCTGCACCATTGCAATGTTGATTGAACACTTACATGAGCCAGGTTGTATGCCAGGGTGCCAGAGTAAAAGAAATTGGCGTTTCCACTTCCAGCAGTGATCCACAAATACCAGAATGTTGGCATGAGAATGATGGAGGCCAAGAACATGACTGAGACGACCAGCATGTTACGCATATCTACAACACACACACACACACATATGTAGATAACAATATCACTGAAACTGAAAAGGGGAGTAGCATTCAGCAGAGATACGAAATCAAGTTCAATGAATGATCATTGAATACCTTCTTCTGCATAAGATAACAGGTCTACAAAAAATAAAATCCTACTACAATACATAACATGAGCAAGATTTGAACAAACCACCCGGGAAATGGATACTGGCAATGCCACCCCGTGCATAGTGAAACCCCACTTAGTAGCTTGGCATTCAAATAGCACTTACACTTGAACAGATGTCTAAAGGTGAATAGCAGTGTAAGCGGCAGCGCAGTGTCGCCCACGGAGGGATACGACTTGAACACACCAGCCACATGGCTCAGCAAATACAACAAGAAGAATGGATGCCGCCTGTGCACAACCACAGAAATCATGTACGAAATCACGAACAGGCCACCTAGCAATGAACTAGAAGGAATGTGTATTGCATGGTGTTTACGGTTAGATAAAATAAGTGGGAGGATAGATCATTAGCCAAATGCAAGTCAATATGACAGCAAAGTCCTGTGCACATTACGCGCACTGTCCTTAGACCATGTGCCTTACCATAAGCGCATTCCCAGTGGCAGTGCATAGAAGAAGACATGGAGCTGGAATACCCAGAGGAAGAACGTCCGAAAGTGCTCAAACATCTCAGTGAACAGATACCAAAAGATGCCAACATTCGGGGTGAAGTCGGGAACAGTGAAGCTGCGCAAACAAACACATGTAACAGACACCAGCAAATTAGCAGCTGACCAATGTTCACTCAGCAAAGGACAAGGCCTGGAAGAGCACCTGCAGCCCACTCCCAGACTGACAGTAGGTCGACCATTTGCTTCTCTTGTACTGCCTGACAACTGCTGCAGCCGCTGCTACTACTGACACCCACTTCTACTGACCCGACACTATCTAAAACCTTACCAACGGCGACTATTAATCTTAGTCCCAAGATCCAAATTGATCAGCACACCAGGTGCAACACAACGGGCATACTGACTCACACAAATCCATAGGTTGAGCGCAAGAAGTCCCAGGAACCACTGTGACAGAAGCTTGCCCACAGCAATAGTGCTGAGACTAGGGCAGTGAAAATGAGGCAAGCCACGATGCTCTTGAAAATCGACAGCGTTGATTTCTAAAAGAAAAGGAAGAAAAACACCAGCGCCACCCCAATACAGACGGTTTTAAACATAGATACCAAACTGCAGTGGACAAGCAATTGAACTTGAGATAATGCAGTGCTGTACACTGGTAGCACATTCTCTACACAGGAAGAACGCAGGACTGTGTTGTCCTGCGATGCATTCACTATGCTCACAGGGCTGGTTCAAAGCACAGACCACTGGAGTGCACAAAGCTGCAGAATAAGTTTTGAAAAGCAGGCTACGGGTATCCTATCTCTTCGAAATCGGACCCTGCGCCGGAGAAGCAAAGGCAGTATAGCAACGAAGGAAGTTGTTTGCGAGAAATCATGCTTGAACTTTAAAGTATGCTCAACAATGAAATGGTCTACTGTTTCGAAACGCACTGCAGAAGGGTTACAGGTGGTTAACACACAGGCCAATTACGACGGTGCACGGTCATGCTGTGACACACTCGGTGACTCCAGCTCTCTTGGTACATTACAGGTAACATTCATGGCATGTGTCTAAGATGGCGTCAATACTGCGGTATCTACATCTAGCAACAGAGCACAATCATGTGGAGAATTAGCACATATGTACATGCCATTGAACAGCCTGACTCACCTGACTGACAAGGAGAGCGACAGGTACGATCAGGACAATCATATACGGATCAAGATGACTGGCCAGCGCCAATGCTAAGCATGCAGACACAAGGCGACCTGGAGCAGAACACCAACCAAAACGCTCCACGTTATAAATATCCTGACACTAACTCAGACTGCAAAAGCAAACTGGCATTTACACAATTACCAGACACTTTATTGATCTTCCTCTGAAAATCCACATAACAACACTGACAGCGCGGGAGGGTCACTGTCAAACCTCGACTGCTGTCTGAACTCACACCCTGATTTCATTAGAAGCACTTGTTGGGTGCCTCCAGGTCATCGAACTGTCAAACCGATTCTGGGCATATTCAGTGCATGCTGATCAGCAGACACAGACGGTGCTAAATTCATGACTGCACATATTTCTGGTGCGGAAGCAATTTTAATTGAAAGGGGTGTTTAACACAGTCAAAGTTAATTTGTTGATGTGCAGTACCTTGACAGCAGCATGCAGGTTGTTTTCATCATTTTTTTATAGTGGCAGGCAGCACAAGGCACACCAGTACACATTTCAATCCCTTTTGCCTTTGAGTAAGAGTCGGCTAGGCCGACTTTCCTTCATTTACAGGCACACCACCGCTGTCAAGGATCAAGACATCCGATACAACCACCAAAACAACTGGACCAGCAGAAAAGATTTGTCAAGTGATCACAGAAACAGGGATCTTTGCCAAGCTCTATGGTGGCTGCACAAAGTACGCAATGCCTCAAAGAGAAAAAAAGAAAGAAAAAAATTACCTCTCATTGCAGCCAGAACACACCATGCTAGCGTGAAGGTTGTCAAGGCCGTTGTAGTGTGTGCTGCACACGTTACAATGGCAAATGGGTTCAGCCAATATCTACAGAAAGGAAGAAAATGATGGGCAAAGAGTTGGTCATATTGATATTATACATTCCGTACAAACAGGCTTATTCATCAAACAGCTATGATCACAATGATGACGCCGCCAATGATGAAGATGGTGGCAATCACAGCATCAAGGATGATTGTGAGAGCGATGACAACAACAACAACAACAGCAACAACAACAACAACAACAGCAGCAGCAGCAGCAGCAGCAGCAGCAACAACAAAAGCAGCAGCAACAATAACAACAGCAACAATAACAACAACAGCAACAATAACAACAACAGCAACAATAACAACAGCAGCAGCAGCAGCAACAAAAACAACAGAATCAGCAGCAACGTAAGCAGCTGCATCAACAGCAGCAGCAGCAGCGGGAGCAGCACCAACAACAGCACAAATATTATTGGCCACAGTGGCCAATAATAGAGAGGTTCTGCAAAACGAAAATGCGTACAAACTTTCGCTCTACGTCATGAAGTGCGAAACTTCGCACGAACTTTCGCAACTTTGGACGCGAAACTTGCAGGGAATGCGAAATGAACTTTTGTAGGAAGTTTCGTGAGATGGGATCATGGCGTACGTGCATTTGGTGCGCGCGAACTACGAAAATGTGCAGAAAGCAAAGTTCGTGCGAAAATTCGTACACACTTTCGCAAAGTCGATCGCGAAACTTCGTTCGAATTTTCGTTTTGTAGAACCTCTCTATTTCAAATTTGGACTTCACGGAGAATTTCAAAGTACAGGTCTACTCTCCATATAACGTAATCTCTGGGACCACGCAAACATTATGTTATATCGAGAGTTATGTTATGTAGAAAACCGTGGGTGAAATACAAGATGCACCTCAAAATGAAGGGTATTACAAGGCGGGTTCAACCGTGCAAACATATACACACTGTACCACCATCGACATCAGATACCATCAATGCCGCAGAATATGTGCACATAGGACTAAACTGGCTAGCTACGGCTACAGCTTGATTGTACCGCGCACGTGAATCTACGTTGTATCGAGAGTGTACACGTCGGGGACTGCGCGTATAGGGTGCGTTATGCCGAGGTTTACGTTATGTAGGACTAAACTGGCCTAAACTGCCTAGCTACAGCTACCGCTTGATCATACCATGCACGTGAATTTATGTTGTATCGAGAGTGCGCACGTCGGGGACCGCCGTAGCGTGTGTTATGTCGAGGTTTATGTTATGTAGGATTATGTTGTGTAGAACAAATTTTGTGTGGGAGTGATGCTGTTTCGGCGCGGGATTTGATTTTTTTATGTACTAACGAGGTTTATGTACAAGTGAGAGTTGTTATATCGAGAGCAGACCTGTATTAGGAAATTAGAGGCCACAAGCCTCGTACAGATGAGTCGTACTGCTATTTTCTCTCCGAAACTCAACAAATGCAAGCCAGATACGGAAGAAAAAAAATCATCAGTCACACCACCGGGACTCGAACCTTGCTATTTGCGAGCAATGCTCTAACCAACTGAGCTACAGTATGACTCTTCTACCATATTGACATGTCGCGTATAAAAGCACGTGCTTGCGGCCCTATAAGCCGGGGTTCAAACCATGCTTCTATTCAAGTTATGCTTCTATTCAAAACATGCTTCTACGTCAACATCATCAGTGTACACTGTGCAGTGCATACTGCCACGCATGTACATGCACAATGTACTTTGCAGAGAACTGCTTGTATTCAAATCGTGTTTGTATGTCACGGCGCACTTCGAAAAATTCGGCTTCTATTCGAGTCATGCTTCTATACAGGTCATGCTTCTATACAGGTCATGCTTTTATACAGGTCATGCTTCTATACAGGTCATGCTTTTATACAGGTCATGCTTTTATACAGGTCATGCTTTTATACAGGTCATGCTTTTATACAGGTCATGCTTCTATACAGGTCATGCTTCTATACAGGTCATGCTTCTATACAGGTCATGCTTTTATACAGGTCATGCTTTTATACAGGTCATGCTTTTATACAGGTCATGCTTTTATACAGGTCATGCTTTTGTACAGGTCATGCTTTTATACAGGTCATGCTTTTGTACAGGTCATGCTTTTATACAGGTCATGCTTGTATACAGGTCATGCCTCTATACAGGTCATGCTTGTATACAGGTCATGCTTTTATACAGGTCATGCTTGTATACAGGTCATGCTTGTATACAGGTCATGCTTTTATACAGGTCATGCTTTTATACAGGTCATGCTTCTATACAGGTCATGCTTCTATACAGGTCATGCTTCTATACAGGTCATGCTTCTATACAGGTCATGCTTCTATACAGGTCATGCTTCTATACAGGTCATGCTTCTATACAGGTCATGCTTCTATACAGGTCATGCTTCTATACAGGTCATGCTTTTATACAGGTCATGCTTCTATACAGGTCATGCTTTTATACAGGTCATGCTTCTATACAGGTCATGCTTTTATACAGGTCATGCTTCTATACAGGTCATGCTTCTATACAGGTCATGCTTCTATACAGGTCATGCTTCTATACAGGTCATGCTTTTATACAGGTCATGCTTTTATACGCGACACTACAGTATCCACAGTGATGGCAAATCTATCCTTCTTCGATCAATCAATATCTGGCTTGCATCATACTGGCAACTCACACCAATCAAGCGGGCCCTCGGCCATTCGATCGTATCGGGCTTGCAAGTGTTGAGTTTCGAAGAGAAAAGAGCAGTACGAAGCATGTGACCTCTAATTTCCTAATAGAACCGCTCTATTATTATATCAAAATAATTTATATTTGACTGGCAAGTGTGTGTGTGTGTGTGTGTGTGTGTGGCAGTGTGTGTGTGTGTGGCGGTTAGTGGCGGTTAATTCATCAGCCTTGCAAGCTGTTGAATGGTGTAATCCCAGCACAAGTTGCTATGTCTAACATAGCTGTTCGCTATCATCGCTTCCGCGATGGGCAGGTCTGAGGTCTGAGGTGTGTGTGTGTGTGTGTGTGTGTGTGTGTGTGTGTGAGAGAGAGAGAGAGAGAGAGAGAGAGAGAGAGAGAGAGGGAGAGAGAGAGAGAACTACAACACGGGAAACAACACTTACGCAAGAGCCACTGCAGATCCAATATTATGCCAAGGCTTGTATTGTATTGCTTCAACATCCTTTGCAAAATTCTCATTTTCCTTCTTTTCATCATCAAGCTGTGCACATAGCATTTGGCAAAGTATGTTCTCAAGATATCACACCTTGGACTTATTTTAGATGCCTGGTATAGAGCCTACTTTTTATCCCAAGGAAGAGTCTTATCATACTGGGGCTTGACATAATTTTTTTGTTCATCCCTATTCCAATGAAGTCAAGTAGAAACCAGAATGCACAGTGTTGTGTTGATCGCTCAACTACAGTAGACAAGATTTTCATGTTGGCAAGCTGTCATCCTACATTTGTTTTATTCAATGAAAATAATAATAGATCGAGAGAAATGTAACGTTTTCGACAACATTGTTGGAGTGTGCACCAGAGTGAATGTACAGAAAGAGTAATGAAAACTATGGGTATACATGTGGAGGAGACGGTTTCAAATAGAAAATAGGTTGCAAACTGGAAAGGGCTCAATATTCACTTTCTCTCTTGGTATTTTGATTAGAAAACATATGTCACAGTGAGACTACGATGTGTTTTACTCCGAGCCAAAATGTCATGGCTCTGCGAAGACAAGAAGCGCCAAACTAAGCAGGTGAGTTTTTGACGTGTTGCTTCGCACTGCGACTTGAGTTTTACGTCTTTCGAAAAATCAACTCCTTGTCGCAGGTAAACAGCAGCTCGCCTCTCGCCAATAAAGCACCGTATACCAATGAAAACTAATGGAAGCACACACAAGGCTTATTGTTGCTCTGTACTGGCCGTCGTGGAGTGATAGCAATTACTTAATTTCAGAACTCAGAGTGAATTTGACGTGCACTCTAAAACCTTTCCGGTTTGGAGCCACCTCGGATTTGAAACGAAAAATTGGGCAACTTGGAGGCAACGGGCCAACACAAAGGAGTGGCTCAGTTCGATCGACTCTGGCCTCGGAGCAAACTTCAACATGCCAGTTTCCTTCCACAAACATATTTCGAGTGAACAAATTAAGTATTTGAAACCGTCTCCTCTACATGAAGAGCTAAGATGCAAAACCCGCTAAATCCATTTCATCACTTTTTGGATAATGGCTAAAAAAAGGACTTTTTATGTGTGGTTTGTATCTTGATCCTTGAAGGGTGGTGGCGTTCCTACGGATGCGGAAAGCCCGGTTTCCAGCCGAGTCTCACGCGAACCGTGATATATATATTTTTTGTATCTAAATCCATATTTGGGTTCCAGTTTTGAAATGGTTCTAGTCAGATTTTGGAATAAAAATTGTGCCTGGTGCTGCCCCCTAGACGTTTGGAGTACATGTACACTGAGGTGAAAACCTGATTTTCTCAAATTTGGCGCTTATCGGGTTTTGCATCTCAGCTCTTCACAAGTAAACTTTAAAGAAAATGATGTGGATGGGCGAACGACCCAATCTCGAATAACACTGCTGCAATTCCACATTGCTCATTACAGAATAAAACAGGCAGCACTCATACAACATTTAGTTCATGGCAAAAACTTTCAAATACTACATGTCACTGTAGTATAATTATACAGGTCTACAATGTAAGCTACATGTACCAGCTATTGTACGTACCATTGATGTCTGGTATATCACAGCAACTTTGTAAAGTGCATAGGAAACAAGAACATCAAGAATCTGTACAGGCATACCACAATAGTAAAACACACACAGGCCAAAACTATAATAAATGGTTAGAAGCACTGCAGCCTCTGCTTTACTATTGAAAGCTATAGGCAAAGGAATCCCCCTCCCTCCCCGCCATAAGAGTCCATTTCGTGAATTAGATGGTACAACAGGTTGGAGCACAAAGTGAATGAACAGCAGTTAAACACTTGGCATTGTAGAGCAGCAGAATCTCTTATTCCTACCGACACCCCAGTGACAGCCCACTGCCTACAGACATTGCAGTACAGTACAGTGCATCACCACTACTCGCTAGAATTAGGAGTAGAAACTTGAAAGATTCCGGTTACTCACCAGAAACACTGCCTTTACTGCATATGGTAAGTGCCATATCCCGTGGAAGAACGCCAGTAAAAGCGGACTCTGAGCAATAACACAAGCACAGCGCAGCCGTGTACAAACTGAGCATACCTTGCCAGGCACATGCCATCAAAAGCATGTCATGTCAGACATGGTTAAACTTATATACCTGCCATCAAAACACTACCCCCGCTAAATTACAGCGTCAGTCCTGCAAGGTGTTTCCAGCAATATTGACCAGTCATTGTTTCTCAAGCATACGACCACTACCATCGTCACACGGCTCACACACACTGTGCTACAGTACAGCCCATGTGTACAATATCATTGTGCTGTCCTCCGTACACACTTCAGGGGACGAAAAAGGGTACCTTCAAGTCGTATTTAGCGCTTCGCAGGGCCTGGGGGGGGGGGGGGGGGGGGGGGGAGGGGTTATGTACTCCTCGTTCTATATAAGGGTTAGTTCGCTTAGCGCTGGCATACAGTCAACTTTGCGAATAACGACACTTGGCGGGGTATCAGAAAAGTGTGCATATTCGGGAGCTGGGTCACCACCGATTAAGCTGTGTTCACAACTGGCACGTGGACGCGGTACGCTTGCGGTTCATGCGTGCCCAAACGCGCGCTCAGCCTTTCACAAAAACAGCACTCCGAGTCTTATTTAGCGCGTGCGACACCTTCGAGTACAAGTTGTTTTACCCCGCCAGTCAGAGTGACTGGCACATACGCTGGTACGCGCCTGATACGCGCTGAAAATTCCAACATGTTGGAATTGCCATATCGGCGCTTTTCCGTACGCATGGCGCCCCAAAAGCCAGCAAAAATACGCACAACGCGTGGTTTCACGCGTACACGTGCCAGTTGTGAACACAGCTTTAGGCTTACTAGTATGTGATACACACGCTCTTCAGGCAACATGTATTCATGAAGGTTTGTGTGACGCGTTTCCCCACCCCCCCCCCCCCCCCTTCCTTCTTCAATCTTATCCCGGTGCCCGTCCAAGGCGTCCTCGTGTAGTTGACTTGAATGAATTCGAGAAAGGCATACCTGATGAAACATGTCACCTTCATAGGGGGAGTAGCCATGTTCAAGGAGAGTGATGCCTTCAACCACTAAATATGAACAATGGAGAATATGAAAACAACTATTTTCATTACGCTCTGAATTTGTTAACGAGTTACTTCGCACATGACCAGTACCTCTCCTCCAGGATGATAAGGGCGTGGACACCTCTATCCTGCGTGAAAGCCATTCACTGGATGATTGGGATAGCAAAGCGATTCGAAGCAGAAGGCCACAGCTTCCTAACAAAAAGACTTTCGCATCCATGCTGCTAAAAGAATTCAAGCTCTGACCAATTTCTATGGTGACTGCCACAATGTTGTGTCCAGCTACATGTACTTGCTGCTGCAGTAAATTTTATTTGTTATAATAGCATACCACTTGTATTGCAGATCATATCATGGCACGGACTGTCGCTCATCCTTAGTGGTACATCACTGACATCGAGAGTCCATAAACTAACTAACTACTAAAGTCTTTGCTAGCTCTCACTGCACCTGCACGATTTAGATATTGTAACCGAGAAAGTAAAAATCATAAAAACAAAGTGCAAGTCAGTGAAATAGCTTGAGCTGAGTTTTCAAAAAGATCTCGTGCAAGCGTGGTTTGGGTCACCATGGTCACGTCCGCGTGCACCATATCCGTCGAAAGCAGCCAAAGCGACGCTGGCCACGCAGTACACACGTAGATCTTAGATCAAAACTCATCATCATTTTGAAAGCTAGCTGTCAATAATCATCAGCAACAGCATCACAGCTTGTTGCATTTCATTGATTTCACTGTGTGAGCCAAGGCGGAAATCCTGGATGGACGATGGCGTTTTGTCGATGTGGAAATGATTTACGTACGCCCACGACCAGTTTCTTTCTACCTGAGAGGCCTAGTCAGACTAAGAGTAAGACTGAGAGGTGCTGCTCTCTGTGTTCTTCCCTGAAAACAAACAAAAAGCTCCGCTTTCTTCTGGAGGCGACTGGAGGAATATAGTCGTTTTCAGTAGTTGTCCAAAGAGAGAAACAACTATGGCTAAAAACTTGGTGCAAGCAGAGTTCGACGACTGGCGAGAAAAGGATAAAAGTGCAGATGGGAAGTGCTCCATCTTTCTCCTTGACGTGAGTCGTCTTGTTTCCGTTTTGGAGGTTGACTATGTGTTAGATTTGTTCTAGTAACATCTTGATTGTGGAATTGCACTGCATGCATTGCAGTGTGGCAAGCACTCTCTGTAATTTCCTTCCTTTTTCTTGTTTTGTGTCTTTGCGACAGTGCACCCTCCGAGCAAACAAGAAACTTGAAGTTGAACTTGTTCTTGGTGGCGAGTACGAAGTTATACTACAATGTCCTGCAGGTAACTGAAAATCCTGACCAGCACACCCTAATCCCAATTCCTTGCGAAGATTATGCTAATCACTCCATGGAACACCAAACCAGGAACGTGTTTGTTCCGAATAACAATGTTTGGCGGTACAGCTGTATAGCACAGATGACATTTGAGGAAAACACTATTCTCTAGTGTGCCATTTGCATATTGCTGTCCCACTAGCTTTGCTACAACTTTACAGTGGTTTTAATATCCAATGCGAGGCATATGCAACCCCTCCTGCCTAAAACATTATGGGATCTGTAGATACAGACTCAGTGTCGACAATCCTGGCTATCATGGTTGACCTCATTCTCTTCGTCTTCCGGATACGTACCTTTTCAGGAAGCCCAAGATTATGAAGATTGAGTGAGTGGAACTGAAGTTATGAAACTTATGATCCAAGGAACAATTTTGAAAATATTTCCTGTGCCTCTTAAAAAGGGTTAAAGTGAGGCTTTCCCTCGTATCCATATGTCCTTTTCCGTTCTACAAGACTACATTTATTATTGGCTCAACGTCCGAGTTTCCCTCAATTGGCCCATTTTTTCGCCTATTTGACTTTTCGCTAACCTCAAAAATACTTCAAATTCGGCTGCAAAATTGGAATACATTGGAAAATCGGCCAAAAGAATTGTTGTCATATTGACTTCAAAATTGGTGAGATATTGGAAGATTTGGTAGATTTTCGGCGATTCTCAAAGAAACCCTCCAAAATCGGCGAAAAGCTTAGCGATTTTTTGATGTAAGGAAAGAATTGGAGGCGTATCCAATTTCGAAAGAAAAGGTGTCAGCACCGACGCAGTCCATGCAGTCAAGTAAGCCAATAGGGCTTGAAAGTGCTACGTCACAGCATAGCAACAATTTCAAAAATTCAAAAACTGGATCCACTTGGATCCAGTTTTTGTATGGATCCAAGCACATTTCAAGCGGTCTTTACTCACAGCAAGGTGATGTAGCCAGTGAAACTGACTGATTTGGCTACTGGGGCCGGGGTGACGACTGGTGGCGCAGTGAAAGTCGCCCCTGCATACGACATGAGTGGGTTGCTATGCACCCACATACTGAGGCAATAGCAAAGTCACACCTTAGTGGATCCAACATAGAAATCTGATGTCAACTTAATACTCCCTGGCCGTTTTTGACGTCATCACTTTCAAGCCCTATTATTTTTGTAACCGAACGTTTTCATTCTCTTCTCATCATGGGTAAATACAGAGAATAATGTAAAAATGTAAAATACAACAATTTATAGAGCTACAGCAAAAGCATAGATTGAGAACCTCGTGCTATACGTGTGGAAAAATATAAAATTCAGCTCAACAGGTCGACAACAGGGTGAAGGTGAAGAAATGACTAAAACGTAATGAACACATCAATGAGAAGAAGCATTCCTGACACTTTCAACGAGGATTAGCGCCAAACAACTGAAGTGACAGAACATTTTCCTTCTGAACACATACTGTATAGCAGGAAGTTTTCGGACGGAATTTATTTTCGTACGATTTCGTACGCGGCCTCTTTTGTACTAAAATTAATTCTGTACGAAAATTTGTTCATGTGAAATTATGTACACTATACATGTGTCCTGCTTGCAAACACGTGTATTTAGCATGCAGCAAAGGTCGAAATTCGTCTTTGTCCGAAAATATTTCCGTCCGAAAATTTCCTGCTATACAGTAGTTCAGGGGACAACTTGCAAAATATAATGCTTCCAAAACAGACAAATGTAATACAGATCTTCCACAGGCCCAAACTGAGAAAACATCATCTCTGCACAACTCACGCCAACTATCACTAACAGACAGATGACTCTTGATAGCTGATTGCTGATTGTTGGAATTTCGCGTCTTTTTCGTCTCCTCCAATGTCGCAGCTCATTGATGTGTTCATTATGTTGTAGTCATTTCTTCACCTTCACCCTGTTGTTGACTTGTTCAGCTGAATTATATTTTTCCACACGTATAGCGTGAGGTTCTCAATCTATGCTTTTGCTGTAGCTCTATAAGTTGCTGTATTTTACATATTTCCATTATTCTCTGTATTTACCCATGATGAGAAGGGAACGAAAACGTTCGGTTACAAAATTGGCTTACTTGACTGCGTGGATTGCGTCGGTGCTGACACCTTTTCTTTCGAGATTTTTTGATAAGTCTCGTTTTCGGAGAATAGGCAATTTCAATACATGTAGGTTTGCAGCGTACGGCAAACCGTAGTTATTGCGGACAACCGAGCAGCAGGTGAAAGCCACGCGCGTGGCTAGGCGCGCAACAATGGGGGTGTCTGGCATGCAATGGCGGGCAGCCGTACTGGGGAATGCCCAGGCCGCACCATGAGTACGCCCATATGCGCAGGCGAGACTACCCCATATTTGCTTAAAGGTATCAGCGCTACTAATGCAATGTTTACTACAAGCAGGGCTCATTGCGCCTACTCTCTATATTAGGAAGCAGTTCCTTGCATGGCACGAAAGGACTCCAGCACACGTACTAAGCCTCAGCCAAGGTACAGTACCGTACTGGTAATATATGTTGCCGCGTAACGCGTAACGCAGGGGGGTGCGGCGTAACGCGCGACCAGGCTAGTGCGACAAATTTTCGTTGAGTTCGTAACGCGCGTCCGGCGGGGTGCGGCGATCTTTTCATTGCAAAAAAGGCTGAAAACTGTGAAAGCACGTGTACCGCGTGGTGAAAAGTTCAAAACTGGACGCAGCAGGAAGTCCTGCAATAGCAAAAAAAGGACGCGGCAATATAGAAACCTGTGTAACGGCTCCTGTGCGACTTTGCATGTAACGCCCTGCGTGCGGCAAACATGTGCCAATGTAACGCTTCATGGCCTCACTGCGGCAACATATATTGCCAGTACGGTACTATACTAACCGAGCATGCAAGATACAACAGGCGGTGTGGCGGAAAACATACCACGTATGGAAGAGGCGAAGTCCCCGGTTGCCACTGGGTCCACAATGACAGACACCACCATGCTTATAATATGGGAAATAAGGCGTGAGCGCCCACCAAGTAAGGCTGGCAGGAAGACAGCAAATAGAGGACTGGGCATGGGCCGCATAAGCGCGTGGCAAGTGCAAATAGCGTAAGACGTACCCACGAGGGCCACAACGCGAGAGTATGGCAGCATGAGCAGAGTACGATGCCGGATCAACGCGGGACGGACCAAGGTGTGGTAGTGCTACAGCACGAGGCACCTCAGCAGTCCGGAAGTGGCAAATGCAGGGACAGCATCAGTATTGGTAGCTAGCAGTAGCAGATGAGCGTGATTTTTTTTCTTCTTTCTTTTTATTCAAGACTAGCAACGAGGAGCAGCAGGCAACCCTCATTTCACAATGGTGATTGCATAATCACATACAACAAAAATGCAACCCCATTCTATGGTGCTATGATGTGCGTGTCTCGGGGGGGGGGGGGGGGGGGGGGGGGAGGGAGGGGAGGGGCGATATACTGACATTCGAATGCCATTTTCTCAAGAATGGCTTGTGCTATCTCCATAACATTTTCTGAGTGGGTGTATGGGTTACTGTCGGATGTTTTGGCACTGTCGAAACATGCCATTTATGAAAATCGATTTTTAGCATATTCTGGTCCCCTCTAGACCAGAGGGCCGATCAATACTTATACTGTTGGCAGTGAGCGTCGAGAATGAGTGAGAATCGTTATCTTTGGTTCACGTAAACCGGTCAATTTTAGGAAATCGTTATATTTGCGACTCGTTAGAATAATGGCTTTTACAGTATATCGGTTTTTTTCTGCTTGATCATCTGTGTTTTGATCGTGTTCCTGCATGGACAGTATTATCTCATCCTGAGGGTTTAGGACACCAGGTACATTGACCAAGGGTCGTTACAACCAGTATTATCTACTAACGAATTATGTTGTAACCGGACCTGTAAACAGTTGTCCAGACCGCGTTTCGTCAGGGCATTTCAGATTTCTAATACCGGTAATTCATTAACCGGACTTGTTATAATGAGGCCACCTAGAATTAATTCGTTGTTTCGGGTCACTTCACTTATCCGCACCAGGGTCGGTCGGTCGGGTTTGTTTTTTATTTTATTTTTTAGTTTAGTTACTGCCACGCCATGACGTGCATATCGAATAGCCTTTGTCTATCAAGCCAGATCAAAATCAAATCTGACTGTAGACGATCCAGCGCAGTCATTTCCCCATCAGATCCAGGTCCCCTCCAGTACCAGATTTTGGCCTCGCTGGCAAACTAGTGTGACGAGCAGCTCTCACCAAAATTTTAGTCAATGAACGACGCAGTGGTGGAGCTGGTGCTGTTTCAGGACCGACTGAGGATCGGAGACAACGTCGTCACCAAGCGCTGCATCCTGTTATTTGGCTGCTTCTGAGGTCGATATCTGGACTGCTATTGTTAGGGTCGCGTGTGTACATGGTCTAGTCATGTACATTTGCATGCACAATAAAAAAATTTTTTTTTTGCGGTCGGGTGAAAAAAGACGGTCGGTCGGGTGACCCGAAACAACGAATTAATTCTGGGTGGCCTGAGGGAGGACCCGTATAACTTAAAAGGAAAAAAATCGGAGGCGTATCCAATTTCGAAAGAAGTGCCATCCCCGACGCAATCCACACCGTCAAGCAAAGCCAATTTAGTAACCGAACGTTTTCGTTCCCTTCTCATCATGGGTAAGTACAGGGAATAATGGAAAATGTCAAGTACAGGAACTTAGAGCTAAAGCAAAAGCATAGATCGAAACCTCACACTATACGTGTGAAATACATTCAGTACTACAGGTCAAAACAGGGTAAAGGTGAAGATATGACTAAAACGTAATGAAAACATCAATGAGGAATAGTACTAATGAGGAGTAGTATTCTTGACACTGACCCCCCCCCCCCCCCAGAAAAATTTCGGTTATTAAATTGGCAGCGGCGGATCCAGAGTTCACCTGAGGGGAGGGCGCGGGTAATATTCATGACAGGGGAACCTATGCGGTACCTGTATTTTGTACACATTACGACATAGCGGCTATTTTACGTCATTTGCTTAGCGGTTACCGTAAAGTCGCGGATAAAAGCCGGGCTTATAAGCACATAAGCCGCTTCCTGCATCAGGCTTCAATGCAAACCAGGCTTGTATGCAAACCATGCTTATATGCGCTTGCATAGAAGCCAGGCTTCTACGCGCGACAGGCTTATATTATATGCATTGACCCGTTCGATTTCCAGGCTTCTATCCGCGATGTGCTAGTATGCAAACCCGGCTTTTATCCGCGACTTTACGGTATGTAGAATTACTATTAAATTTTTAGCACATGCACTCACTCCCACTTTTTCAACCACTTCATTGAGGACTCTGGCTGTAGTAGAACATAGCCGTACTACATTGCTTCAAAGCTCCAGACATGCTGAGATTGAGAACAATGGCAAAATAATAAAATATACGATTACTTGGATGGCCATGTCCAGCAGTAAGAATGTATGATGAGGTATTCACCTCGGGTTGATCCTTGTCTTGTCGATGCAATGTAGGAAACGGGACGCACGGCGCACAAAAAACGCCTTCCTCGCCAGCCTTTCTGGAATAGGCAAGCCACTCAAACCTCTTCAGTAGCAGCGAGCGAGTGGAAGTACCGGTCTTTCGGCGGCTGTCGGGATAATCCCTAGATGGCAACACCGTCTGCTTATCAGGCTTCCGGATCCCAAGTATGTTGCGCTTTTCTGCATCGCTGAGAGTTGCACCGCCAATAGCTGCATCAACAGCATCCGAGTAACTTCGCTGCGTAGCAGTGCCACCAGCCACATTTGTGACAGTCACAACGTCGTCATCTGCGATAGTTTCAACAGGTAAACGCTCCTGACTCGCATCACTACTACTGACAGTCCCACCATCGTCGTCAGAATCTACTTCGGATTCCATTTGGGGAAGATCAGAGTCTGAGCAGACCTCGATCTCAGGATCTTCGCGGTGGTCCGAATTCTCCGCCAAAGGCGGATCGCTCGACTGAGCAGCTGACGAAGCGCAAGTTCGCTTTGCGAAAAATCCGTGGAGAGTTTGTTGGTTCCCTAGCCGCTTGGGCGGGCGGTGCGCCATCCCCTTCACCGACTTAGCTATACAAGTTCGTGAACTGAACACTAATTTCAAAACTAAAAGTCAACCAAAGTCTAAGAGAACAACTACTCCGTGTTCAGAAGAACTTTCTTACCTGACACTAGAAACTACTTGTCACAGCATGTGCAAACACTTGCGCAACTGCCCATGTGCATGCACTAACAAAAATCGAACTGTTTGAGGTGAGGGCGCACGCCCACCGCGCCCTCCCCTAGATCCGCCACTGATTGGCTTTACTTGACTGTGTGGATTGCGTCGGTGCTGACACTTCTTTCGAGACCTGTATAACAATATGTATTACAGTGTACTTCTTAGTAAAACTTCGTACTCGCTGCACTTCAGCTTGTTCACTGCCAGTGTTGCCAACCGCCCGTATTTGTCCATATTTTTACGGAAAAAACGAAGTTTTGTCCGCAGTACGGATTTCAATCGAATTATCCCGCAAACGATCATGTATGATCGATTACTAAAACCTTTAGTAACTCCATAGTTTTTTGTGCAAATTCAACAATCGAAGAGTCTCCGTCGTAGCGAAAACTCCAAGCTGTCCAATGCAACAATCGCCGAAGAGTGACGATTTCGGACTCCAGAGATATCGCGCGCCGTATTCTTAGCTCGGTATATTCAAATTTTTGATCGATCTCTTCGCCATTTGGGGGAAAATCTGACTTTGTTAACGAGTTACTTCGCACACGAAAGGTGATTTTCACTGTGTATTAGCCTTTCTACAATATCTACCTTCATTGACGAGAGATTTTTTCTTGAAACAGCTGCTTGAAAGGAACTAAGTACCAATGGATGTGTCGCTTGCTGATGGTATGCTGTGGCAACGTGTCGAGGTCGGCTGGAGAACGCAGTTATGGTGCTGTGGCTGATGGAGAAAAAAAGATGTGTGGATAGATGGTGATAATTTAGCTTCAGTTATCCGGAATAGCCAGCAGGGTCTGGTCCTGAGGGTGTCGGATAGCTGACACGCTATTGCACTTTTTACTTTACTTTACTTTATTTCTTTTGCCAATTTGCTGTACAGGGTATCCTGAGCACGGAGATGATTACCTGTCCCTTGAAACAAGATCTGCAAAAAAAATTGCTTACATATGCGATGTGGTCAACGAGGTGAGTGATCAATGCCCATTCCTATCTACAAGGGTACAGAACCCCTCCCCCCCCCCCCCCTCCCCCGAAGAGTATGAAAGTATGAAACTCCAGTATGGGTGCTGTCCAGACAGAATTTCAAGTTGACGTATTTTCTGATGCAATGCGCATTGCACACATATTATCAGACTTGTCCTGGACTTGTGGTGGACAAATCTCCATGTTATCCTGTGCAAACTAGCGAAAGGAAACATGTGTGATATGTTGACACCCCGTATGAACGTCGTAAATCACCCGTGCGAGGAGGGTTGCATCATAAACATGACATCAACTTAAGATTCTATCAGGACAGCAGGGTAAGTGCCAGTTGCACACTCTTGGGGAGTTATATACTCTTGATATCCCTGTACAGGATAGCATGACTCATTGGAATTCTATGTGTTTTGCCTGAGCAACTGGGTGGAGAATAATATTTCAGCTAAAGTTGGTTAAAAATAAAATATAATGGACTCGGATGGAGAGCCAAGGATAAATTTATGGAAAAGAAAAAGAACCAAGGAACTACAAGTTGCGCTATAATGTCCACTAACACAACCAGTTTAAATACAGTACTAAACAATCAGCTCATGCGATAACATTGCACGACACTGACCGACAGTACTGACGTTCTGCAACTAACTGGCTAAGAGCTCTAGCACATCTTGGATGCGCACTCAAACAGCCTTCTAACTTGGAAGGTACAGCCGAGACTTTCAGCTCGTGCTTGTCTTGGTTGCGCTCACCTCCCCCTCCTATGTTATCATTATAAACTAGAACCTTCCAAGTTGGAATTCTGTTGGAGTGCGCATCCAAGGTGTGCTAGAGCTGTTAGCCAGTTAGTTGTAGAACGTCAGTACCGTCGGGCAGTGTCGTGCAATGTCAGGGCTCACAGTAGGCATGCAGGATCGACACAAGCGTCGTGCGAGGGCGGGTTTGGTGCACGTCAGTCGCGTGACCCCACGAGAGCACAGATCATGTACATCCTACGCATCCCAGCAAGGCCCAGACAGATTCTGCTCCGGTCCCCTCGATATTTTGCTGCAAAATGTTGCTGCGAAATCTTCGATATTTTGCCGAGCCTGGCACAAGAAACTCGATATTTTGCTCTATTTTGCTCCGGAAAAAATATGTATTATATCCACTTCCCGTACAATCCCGTACAATGTTTCATAAAAATGGCAGGGTCGGTTTCTCAACATGGGTATCAACGCACGTGTCCCTGAGTTCTTCCAAAATCAAGGCGATCCACAGTTAATCCTAGAGATATTTCGGTGACTTAATCTCGTCCTGGGCAGTGTATCCTGCTAGCGGAACGGGTAAGAAACAAGGAAATCCAAGTATCAGGCATCGATTTTACCCAACATCTCGATATTTTGCTCCGATTTTGCCAGCAATTTCCGCTCTTTCAATTCTTCGATATTTTGCCGAAAGAATTGCCGGCAGGATCTGTCTGGGCCTAATCCCAGCAGAACAAAGAAGAGAAAGAACCTTGGCTTGAGTTTTAGCCTGTTCTTGTCTTGTTGAGCCGATGTTCGCGATATTTTGGTCGGGCCTGTTCTTTCCTCGCTTCTCTCGGCATGCAGTGTCGAACCATTCTCGTTTCCGTTTGTGTCGATCTTGTGCTTTTACGATCGTGCATACTCCAGTGGCAATAGTTTGCTTTATTATTTGCACTGGGAATTGCACCGCAACACCGAACAGTTACTGCCAGCCCTCGGCAACGACTTGCCTTTCACTGTGCCTTGTAGAATTGGTCCACCGAAGGAGAAGGCGAAAGGCAACCTGTGCTAGTCCCAGGAAATACATGTCATGTAGCCGCTGTTCGACCAAATGCTGATGCTACAATGAGCGATTGCGATGTTCCATAGGTAAGAAGACAAACAAACGAGTCGGAGCTCACCAGGCAGGTAACGCCGAGAACATACCACACAGAGCTGCTGATCGGATGGAGGTGAACGGGACCAGCAAATCCGCCAGGCGTTAGTTGAGGGTCACTAAAGACCAGGTTTCCAGAGGTACCAGTTCCTCCATGATGGCGAAATGCGCTGCCACAAGAACTCCAGCGAGAACGAAAGCACAGCAACTAACTCCGCGGGCGAACTGAGGAGAGAACACTGAAAACTCTGTGCGCAATGATTTTCTGTTCGACGTGTTGCTGTTCCGCTGCATGCATGCGTTTTTCTTGTTGTTTTATCTTCACACATTTTCGCGCAAGAGGTTGCGCGTCGCTGGGACCCGGGGTTACTAAAATCAGTAGAGAGCATCTCCCCCTTGGTCGATTTGGAAAATCTATGGCTTAAAATTTTCAGGAGACCCTGGCAAAGAAATTTACCGAGACGTTTTTGGATACTCCTTTCCAGTACTGTACTATATCTCACGAAGTTTACGCATATGCTCTGGCATACCCGTGTGAGTAATGAAAATTTATTTCGGTAAATCTTTTGGAACACATGTCGTCTGTGCCTGGGCCAAGTCCCAGCCTCGTAGAACCTAGCTGAAGTGCTGCTTACTCCTTCAAACACCCCCTACTTCGAGCAAAAATGCGACGAAATGCTGACTGCTGATTGGTCAAGCTGGCATTTTGGAGTACGTGCGCCACCCCCATCTAATCGACGCTTTTCTACGCAACTGTGAACTCTGAATGGTATCGCATGAGATGATTGTTTAGTATCTGGTGGTGTTAGTGGACATTATAGCGTAACTTGTAGTTCCTTAGTCCTTTTTCTTTTCCATTAATTTTTCCTTGGCTCTCCATCCGAGTCCATTCTTGGACACCTGATGAGCCGTCCTTATCTCTCCGGCAAAACGATCGTCGTGTGAAATTGCTGCTTGTTACCGCTGCTTACTGTCCATCTAAATTGTCATAGTCGATGTACAGTGCTGTTTTACTGAGACGTTCGGTTTTGCATGATTCTTGTTTGCATAGCGTCCCCTTTTATTGATCTTTGCATCTTTGAGCCACACAAGTTGTGTGGAATGTTGCTTTGCGACCATGAATCGTGGTTTGACCGTATTGTCCAATGGTCGTGCCAGTATCGTCATCGACATGCATGAACATCCGCCAACGTCCTTCACAGCCGAGACTTTCAGCTCGTGCTTGTCTTCGTTGCGCTCACCTTCCCCTCCTATGTTATCATTATAACTTAGAACCTTCTAAGTTGGAAGGCTGTTGGAGTGCACATCCAAGGTGTGCTAGAGCTGTTAGCCAGTTAGTTGTAGAACGTCAGTACCGTCGGTCAGTGTCTTGCAATGTTATCGCATGAGCTGATTGTTTAGTAACTGGTGGTGTTAGTGGACATTATAGCTTAACGTGTAGTTCCTTGGTCCTTTTTCTTTTCCATAGAAATAATTCATAATCTTGAAGGATGCTTGACGCAGCTTCATTGCACTTGAATAGTTTGCAGGCAACCAGCCTACACTCAAGAGGGCACTGTATTTCGCACAATTCGTGTGAAATACAGTGCTCTGCTCTCTTGAGTGTAGGCAGGTTGCCTGCAAACTATTCAAACATAAAAATACAAATATGGGCCAGTGCATGGAATACCGTGTCTCGTACAGTCCATTCATTGGAAACTGGCACCCTGGCTGTTTTAGTTCAGTGGGTTCACCTTCCCTGTTCTTTCCGTTTTCGAAATTTGCGCAACAGGCTCTCTTCTTACGATAATTTCAAGTTTTCATTCACACCCTGTCTCTTTGCGTTTTTGAAAATCAGCAACGTAGCGGGCCAATTTCCGATGAACGGACATCCTACGAACAGAACAAATATCGTCCCGGAGCAGCTCACACTTGTTCCACATATCTATTCGTCGTGTCATGAACTCGATAGACTTGCACGTTTTAGTCCACAGATAGGAAAATGCACGGTAACCAAGGGTCACGGTAACCAAGGGTTTTGCGCATTACCAGACTGCTTTACTTATTCTGAATGGCCAGAATGGCCAGACTTGTAGGTGGCTAATGCAGGTAGGTATATAGGAGCTTCCTCGCCTCTCCCTTTTGGTGCTGCAGGCATTGCGATACCCAACACTAAGCTGTAGTTCAGAATGAACTGCTGTGCTCTGTCAAACACGACTGCAGGAAATTTGTTCCGAGGCTCGTTGCCAACATGTTCATCATCGCTCGGCAGAGTCTACATAATCTCCGCTTGATTCTTCTGCAATCGACTCTCCTTCAGCCAGGAGTTGTCCACTCGTAGACGTTTAGCTGGGGGTTCGTCAGAGTCACTGTCTGACAGTGAGTGAGTACAGCTGCTATTTGTAGACTCCTCTGACTTGCCAAAGACTTTGTCCTCTTCCTCCTCAAGAACTTTGCCGATCTCTTCTGAGTCCTGATGCACTGATAATCACATGAGCGGTACAGCTCGACCGACGTGCTGCTCGGCAGCAACTGCCACTGTCCACGCGCATCGGAACTAGATGTTTGGCGTCCAGATAAACCTGGCGCAACGGTAGGCGAAGCCAAGTTTTCCCAGTAGAAATGCTTAACGCTTCGGCCCAGCTGTCCTCCACCAATGGAGCCTCCTGTCGGCGACAGGTATGCGCCCATAGTGTGTGTTGCGCACAACGTACATCTCCTGGCCTTGCCTGGCCTGACGGCTCTTCTGACAAAATCACTGCCTGTGCTCGTTCAGTGGCTTTGTCCAGGAAATCATCGCCCATCTCCAGCATACGTTGTCGCACTGAGGTGGACTGGTGGCCACACGCAAAGAAATGTGCAGCCACAGTTTCAACAACGTCTTCCAGCTTCGCTGACGTAGTGATGTTGCAGGCCCGCATCTCCTTCTAAAGTCTGTGCCGGTATGCTTATATGGACTCGCCAGGATTCTGAGCTGCAAGCTGTGCGGAGTCACTCCGCGTCACGCTGAAGTACTCTGCAAATAGTGTCTTCAAATCGTCGTAGGGATTATCACTTGTTGGCACTGTTGGATACTTCTGCCACAGATAGTAAGCTGCACTCTGATCTAAATTTCCTGCGGCTGCCAAGTATTGCTTTTTCTTGTCTGTCACCTCGTTCAGCATTAACCCCATCTTCAATTGACTCAGCCATGTCCGGAAATGGTCAATTCCGTGCTCATGGTCAAGGTCGAGCTTCACATGGACCTTCACCTTTTCCGCCAATTCTCTTATTCTACCGCGTTCTGTGCTTCCAAAATTGTTCTTCATAATTATCCTGTTTACTGCGCTAACAGTCTCCCAGCCAAGGTCATACTTGGTCCGCGTCAGTGATATTGTCGCTTATCTTTCGACAATTTGAACTTAGACTTGGGACATCAACGCGTGCACTTGAAGTGATACAACTTGGTACAATGGAAGGTAAGGTATAGAATGACAACTATCTATGAGGAATTTTTTGTCCAAGGAAGGGTTCATACTTTTTTCGGTCCTCCTCGTCGCTGCTCTCGGCGCTGGTGACAAATATTTTTGCTCGGGATCGACTCTCTTGCTTTTGCAAGCTCATCTCTCTTCCTCTCCCCTGCCTGGCTATTTTATAAAGAGAAGTCGATCGTTACGGTCGCCTTTTCTCTAGGACTTCGCGTGGGCAGCACGACAGCCTGTGTGGTTCAAATCAGACGCCGTTCTTTGCAAGATTTTATTTTGAGCGACGACGACAACGACGACGACGACGCTTACAGTACTTGCAAATCTCCACGATGCGCTGGATACTCCGAGCATTGAGCTGGAGGTAAGGGAGCTGCAATCTCAGCTTGACGAGCGATCCCTGAGGTGAGCGATCTGGGCCGTTCATCAAAATGAAGCTGATTCCGAGTAGCCGATTACTTTCCTGTGGCTTGCGCTGCTCTTGCCTGCACAGCGTAACAAGATAATCTATTTTGAATCGGCGCTGTATCAATCAGAATCACCCACCCGTCGCTCTCGAAATCCACTCGAAATCTAGCTAGACCTTTCAGGTACTGGTAAACTAACTTACTAACCAAAATTGGGATGAAATGGGCTGCCAAGTGAGCATTGGCGACATATAAACAAAGCTGAAAGATAAGCGACAATATCGCTGACGCGGACCAAGTACATACTAGCTCCAGAAACAGTTACGGTAACAAAGGATTCACAGTTAACACGAGAAATACAGGTAAAACAAATTGGAAGTCGGATAGTCCGAGCCAAGCGCTCTCTCTACGAAAATCCCTCAAGAAGCTTCGCCCCAAATCAACACCCGCAGGCACTTGGCTTCCGTGGCAAAACACTACTCAGATCAGTCCGTGCGTACATTTCAAGCATTGGCATTGCAGTACGCCAGAACAGAGTAATAATATTATTACACCAAATGACCTCGACAAATAAGAAACAACTAATCTGGGAAACACACAATTCTCCCAGTTGTTTATCGGTAGTACCAGTTTTGGCCGTTTGTATCGGCATCATCAACCCTATTATTTAAAAACCAACACATGCAGCTGATGCTGATACTAGTACTGCCCTGTACTTGTGCGTGTGTGCGTGCGTGTGCGATATGTGTGTCTGATGCAGAAAATAAAGTCAAACAACATCCACATGGTGGGTGGAGTCCTGGAACTGTGAGTACTGAATATTTTGTACTATTTTGAAGGGCCAAGCAAGGTGTTTTGACCCCTTGTTTTTCACCCAGTCTCGCGTAAGCACTGCAGGGATTTACTTACCCAACGAGTTCAATAACACTATCATGCGTACATGATCTTTGCTGTATGGAAGCCAGTATGCAGGGGATGGTGCTGCTGCACAGATACAAGAACATTGTATGCACTTCCTCAGCCCTGCTTGAAATTTTTGATGTCTCTGACACTCGAACAAGCACACACATCTGACACTCTATATACCGGTAGGTTCACTAGTAGCCCCCCCCCCCCCCATAGTAAACCGCTAATAGTCGCTTCACTAGATTTTATGCGATTTCTGAGAACCAGCCAGTTTACACTGGCGAATGTCCAGTGAGCACTGCTGCACAGGTAGTTTATACTGGCAGATTGGTATGATTGTTTGCGTGCCAGAATTATGAATGTTTTATGCCAGTTTTTTTCATGATTGAAAAGATGTGCTGGGTCAAAATGCTTCACTTTACGCTCTCTGCATTCTGTTCCGTTTTCCATCACAGTCTTTCGAATCAACCCATGCCTGAAATATTGCCAGAACCGGAGGTAAGTAGTCAGTGTTCATGTGGACAAATCCATGTAGATCTGCATGTGCAATTGCTGTTTTGAAATAAATAAATAGAAACTGCTAGAACATTGCAGTGGAATCATGGATTCAAACCGGAAATTGGGCCTCCGACACAGCCAGTGAAGCAGAGGAAACGCCAGCCTCCAGGACTGTCCAACGTCCAAACAGCTTCCTTCAGCCTTGCAGACACATAAGACATGACCTCATCATCATCATCATCATCATCATCATCATCATCATCATCATCAGCCCTTTCACGTTGGCATCGGCGTTAGCCTAGCCTTCGCTTGGGCCACACCCAATGTTAGACATGACACCAGAAGAGAAGGGGAGAAAAAGAAACCAAAAACGGAAAAAGGGAAAAATATAGGTGAACAAACACTTGATCATATGCATACTATTCAAAGACACTAACAATGCAACACGCTAGTGCAGCACTAGCACACTGCAAGTAGCCATAAGGAAGTTAGACCTGTTCAGTGGTACACGTATTTCTTCACGATGATATCATTAACCAGTTGGCGCCACCCGGATCTCGTGCGCGCAATTTCACGCAATCTGCAGAGGTCTGTACAGTTGTTGAGCGACCTCCCGATACTCGTCAGGTCATTGTGTAGGACGGTTGGCAGTTCTGTTCTCGGTCGGCCTCTGTAGCCGATCGTCAGGTCCCGCACATTGAAGTAGGCCTGCATTGCTGCATGCCCTGGGACGTCTCCGTCCAACCGCAGGACATGGCCGAATAGCCCCCATCTTGCTTTTGCAATTGAGACGGATACTCGTTCGGTGTTGCACCTACCGTACAGGTCAGCGCTTGAGATGACTTGAGGCCAATGAACTCCAACAACACTTCTCAGTTGCTTCCGGTGGAACGCATCCAGCTTGGCAGCTACTGAGTCTGTCATCTCTCACGCTCCAGCATTGTACCACAGGATGGGAAGGATCATAGCATTGTTTATCCGTATACGGAGAGCTTCTCTTACAAGATTGGGTCTGACCCATAGCGCCCAGAGTTTCTTCAGGGCTGCAGTTGCAAGGCTTTGTCGTCTTCTGATGTCTTTATCGGTTCCTAGCAGGGATCCCAGCTTTTTTGTGATTCTCCATTGTTCGGAGATACGGTCTGCTTGGCGGTCGATGGTCGTAAATTCGGTTTTTGATACGTTGACGTTGAGGCACCAGGACTTGAGGGTGTCTGTGATGACGGGCAGACAATCCTGTAGATATTGCATGGACGTACTCAGAAAGTCAACATCATCCGCATACTCGGTATCTGTGGGAATAGAGAATCTGATGTCATCTGCTGGTCTGGCAGGAAGCTTCTCTCGTACACTCCTCAGGGCTGCCTTGAGGTACACTGTGAAGAGGACTGGTGACAGAGAGTCACCTTGCGGCGTTCCGATGTTAGTCTTGTATGGCGTATGGCTTGCACCGGGTACGCGTGTACATAGGGATGTGTCCGCCAGTAGCAGGTATATACGCCGAGACATGACCTAAGAAGCGAAAACGACGGCTTACATCGAACATAGGCCATGACGTGACAATACTGCTCGTCCTCCTTGGCTGCTAGAAGAGTGGCCAGCCTTGCATGCAGTGTCGATGACGCTTTCCCCATACCTCCACTTGCCGCCATCACCACTGGGACGAATGATGCCTGTTTAACGTGTGAAACACGCTCCTCATAATGTCGTCTTTTTCTCTCTCTCTCTCTCTCTCTCTCTCTCTCTCATGCCGTTGGAACACAGTGATACGTGGTGCAGATGGATTGGAGCGAGAATATGGCTCAAGAACCTGAACATCGGTTCAAATCGACTTCCCCTCCAAACCACTGGCAGCAACCTCAAGTTATGCATGATTCTCAGCTCACCAGTCAACGGCTGTAGCACTGGCTCTATATATACTTGGTCCGCCCAGTTACAATTGGCGCTTATCTTCACACTTGTCTCAGGAAGAAAATACAAATGTTTGAAGCAAGTTACGATCACAAAACACTATGCATATGGTAATTTACATGTCAGTTAGCAACTCAGCCAAAAATTCAAGCAAGTTACACGTCCTCCTCGCCACTATCGTCGCTGGAGGAAGAGCTCAAAACATTCGATCCGGACAGCTGCTGCATGTTCCATAGCTTTTTCCACTTCTCCTCGTCTCGAATCACGCTCAAAGACAGTGCGTGCATTTCACCTTGCCGCTCGGAAGCTGAGTGAGACTGCCCGTGTGTTGGCTGTAAGTGTTATCCCCGTTCGTCTCATTAATGCCTTTGTTTGAGACAAAAAGGCAACGCCACATCAGCGGTGTTCTTTTTTTCAGATTACTCGCCTCTTGCGCTTGTCGTATTTGCTGATCAGCACCCACGCGTGGTGTTTGTACATGCAGCGCAGTGATAGCTTCCGCTTGATGTCGCACCTGTGCGTACTGCACCTACATGTAAGTCCTAACGCCGTGCACCAGTCTTTTCGGCTAGTTTCCTGAAAGTCTCTTGCACGAGAGTTTCCCTCAGGACTTGGCGTGTATTTTGATTAGCTCCTTTGCCCGGTCCTCTGTGAGCTTCAGAGTGTGTCCACCGGATTGGTCTCACTTTCTGGAGATGTCGACATGAGCTGCAGGTTCTTCGTCAGCGATTTGTCGGTGATAACTCTTCACTAGGCGCTGTACTGTGCGAGCACTGAAATTCCACTGAAATTCCAGCTTGCCAAGTCCTTCAGCTGTTCTATACCTCCCCGCGGTAAACCATCCTTGCCACCAGACAAATGGAAGTAGGCAGAAACTGTATTCTCCATCGCTCTGAAATGCGAACATCCCGACCTATTTTGCGGACTGGAGCGGAGGTTGCAGCGTTTTCTTGCGCTTGCGGAAGTGTTCGTCGGTGGCAGCTCCAGTCAAAAAGACTCAAACGAACCGAGCGCAACTTCTGTGCTGGTTTGTGCTGCCATGTCGTCGGATGCAATGGTCAATGGTTATGTTCGGAGGGTGAATCGGTGGTTCTATGCCGTATGATATAGGCAGAAAACCGAAAAATCAAGTGCGAAGATAAGCGCCAATTTTAACTTGGCGGACTAAGTACGTTTGGATACACCCGATCCAACAGCTGCGCAGTCGTATCACGGGTAGCGTTACTTCTGATCTCCATCAGGATAGGAAAGTGAGTGTGTCACATTGACTTCATGGCCACCGGAGCAGTGGGATGGAAGCCTTGCAGGTGTCCTCCCACAATGGCAGCACAACCCATTCCAAAACTCCTGTTTGCTGAGGCTAAATCCGTATTTCTTCAATGGGCGACCCGTTAACCAGCTAGAGGATTCCTTTGCACGGGTAACATCAATGCTGTTGCACAGGGCCTTGGAAGAATTGCTCACCACCGCCTCCATCTCAACGATTTGTGCCCGACGTGTCACCCCCCCCCCCCCCCCCCCTTACGCCCTTACGTCTGCCTTAGCCTCACTTATTAGAGTCAAGGCACTTCCGAGGGTCCTCTTTTCAGCCAGGATTCTGCTGGTGGGGGACTCTGTGATGCAGGTGGATGACGCAAATTCTCCACACAGGTCCTGGGATTGAGACCCAATCCACCCAGGCAGCAAGGAAGCTCTAATGTGCTGCGTAAAATGTCGCTGGGGAGGCAGGGTTAGTCCGGGATAAACCTGTTTCGTATGGTATCCTCAAGCGGCTCCAGAAAATGCTCCGGAATACTCATAGTTCGACAAAGGAAGGTCCAATTTCATCGTATTCCCCGAGGTAAAGGGCTGAATGCCACCTGGGGCTGTGTTCGGGCAATGTCGGTGTCCTGGAATAGATTTTTTGCCTCAAGAAAGCAGTTTTCTTTGACCACCAACACAATTTCTCGGCATTGACACAATACCCAAAAGCGCAACCTCGTTCAGTAAGGACGTCCCACCACTGTCGCAAACCACGTAGACGGCCAGCCGCCGAAGAATCGTTAGCAAACCAAGATTGTCTCAGTGCAAGTCGCTTGCCGAATAGGGGGTAGCGTGCGTGCGTGCATGCATGCGTGTGTGCGTGTGTGTGAAAATTATAAAAAAGTAGGGATTCACTGGCCAGAAGAAGCCACTTCATAGCTGTGTGGTGTAGACCAGGCTGAATAGTGGCGGTCAGTTCTTCAGCCTTGCAAGCTGGTGAATGGTGCAATCCCAGCACAAGTTGCTATAGCTTCTGCTGTAGCATCGCTATTATCGCCTCCGGCGATGGGCGTCAAAAGGTCAAACGGTGTGTGCCTGGATGTGTGATAGATGTATCATTCAATGACGGTGTATCACGTATGATGTAGTTCATTCCATAGTAATTTTGTTGTATGATATAGGTCCACCTCACCAGTTTTCACCTCAATCCTGATGATGGTTCGTGGCAGAAAGTTTGATCGAGATGATTAGGCCACCTAGAATTAATTCGTTGTTTCGGGTCACTTCACTCATCCGTACCAGGGTCGGTCGGTCGGTCGGGTTTATTTTTATTTATTTTTAATTTTAATTTTGGTTACGTCCATGTGCATACATGTACATCGAATAGCTTTTGTCCATCTAGCCAGCCGATCAAATCTGACTGTAGTGTAGACAATCCAGCGCAGTCATTGTCCCATTAGATCCAGGTCCCCTCCAGGACCAGATCTTGGCCTCTCTGGCAAATGAGTCTGACGAGCAGCTCTCACCTTGAAAACTTCTGTAAATAGCGACAAGGTGGCTGAGCTGATGCTGTTTCAGGACCGATTGCGTATCGGAGATAGAAGACAATGTCGTCACCAAGCGCTGCATCCTGTCATTTGGCTAGCCATGGCTGCTTCTGAGGTCGATATCTGGACTGCTATTATTAGGGTCGCGTGTGTGCATAGTCTAGTCCGTACATTTGCATGCACTATAAAAAAAAAACATTTTGCGGTCGGATGAAAAAAGACGGTTGGTCGGGTGACCCGAAACAACGAATTAATTCTGGATGGCCTTATGAAATTTTGCAACAAAGAGACACTCGCTTTGGTGTTGGGGTTTCCGTGTTATGAAGTGGCTGGCTGTGGAGCTTCCGCACCTTCTAAAAAGAAATATATAAACACTGGAAAGTTGGTTGCTCCTCACACCTGACTTAACACTGTTTTATTTTACCTTGTGTTGAGCTGGTTGTTCATGTTTGGGCTTTTCTTCCATTCCCCACTTTTTGTCCATCACAGAGTGATGAGTTTAACGACTCTGTTGAAAGCAATGAATTCGATTCTAGTGGGCATGTGCCTGATGAAAACTTCGATTTGGATCCGGTAGGTACTTGATGAGTATTTGATGAATTAGTACGTAAATATTCACTGGTTTGAAGGAAAGACGTAAGCGGGAAAAGTCTGAAGAAAAAATGGCTGTCACCACCAGGACTCGAACCAGGGACCCTCCCTTGTAGCCAGCGATGCTCTAACCACTGAGCCATCATCCGAGCAGAGACCGTTCAACATTTTCTTCAGACTTCGTAACTTACACTTCCTGTGGATCTACACAGGCGAGTACGTAAATGATTATACAGTCGTCCCTCTCTAATCCGGCACTTTATAATCCAGCACCCTCGATAAACCAGCACAATTTTCAGTAGCCAAAATGTCCTCTTCGTGTACATTGCAGCAGTAAATCAGATTTGTTAATCCAGCACCCTCCCTAATCCAGCAGATTTTCGTGGCACAAATGGTGCCGGATTATAGAGGGACCACTGTACTTCAAGTAGGTATTTACTTGTCTGTATTAGAAGTGAAGCGAGTGTAAACATTTTGACATTGATTACCACAAAAATGGCCGTTGCAACATTGTAGTGTCAAGATTTTTGGTGATTTCCGTGCGTTATTTTGCGCATACGCACTTTTATCCAATAGCACGTGACCCATGGAGTGTCAGTAACTCTGTGGACCAGCACACGCAGTAGCGATGCCGGTGTCAACTGTCCTGCTTGGATGGTTTTGTATAAATATCAGAAAACGTTTAAAAAATTGAATTTTTGGTTTTGAATAAATACTAGTACCAGAAAACGTTTAAAAATTGAATTTTTGGTCCTTTTTATTTTGAAATTGTGTAGGTCGAAGTTTTTAGGGTGGGGGGGGGGGGGGGGTGGGGGCGTGTCCCCCATGCGATCTACGCGCCTGCATGCGTTTATGTAAAAGAGACCCAGCTCACTCGACAAATCAATCTCACTCTTTTCTGGACTAACCAAGAACTGAGGGGAAACCCTCGTCGTGGCCAGCTTCATCTTTTTGAAGTGGAATTTCCCCCCGCACCCCGCCACACAACGACTCTCTGACTCATTAGGTTTGGCAAGAATATTACACTGTTATTTATCACTGAGAATAACTCACAAACTGGTGGGCAAGAGAACGGGGAAGAAAGACGAAAAGACTAGACAAAAAGACAACGGGAAGACTCCCGGGAAAAGACTCAAAGAAAACAACAAGAACAAGCAGTAATATCGCGACGACAAATCGGGACGACCAATCAGGGACTAATACGTACTTATCCCATGGTACGAAACGATTTGGGCCATTTCAGCCAATCAGCGACCGTTCTGAGCGGGGGTATATAGAGCGATATACCCCGCCGGGGTCAATAATATACCCCGCTGGGGTCACAGGGTCAATAATATACCCCGCTGGGGTCACGAATATTCCCCGGGTGACGCCAATAAGGGAGATTTTAGTGCTAGTCACGCTCTATTTGGGACAGTACATGGGATTAATGGATTATACCATTCGTACTCTGTGTATACCGTGTCCCTTATATTTTCCCTCGTGCTAACGCACTCGTGAAAATATTCGGCGGTATACCCCTCGTACTCATGGGATAGTCCATACAGAACACATGACCAAGACCAAGACAACCAGACCACGGACGAATCACACATGACTCTCATTCCCAGACCAAACTAGTACTGCGCATGTACAGCATTCACTTGACAGTCACTCTCACACAGACGGAAGCAGATCCTCACACTCTGACAACGCGTACTCTTGCATGCACCACACACCATAAACGTCACACATCACACCATACTCGCACGTACACTTAGACCATATATGACATCAGACACTGGACTCCACAAGACAAGGACCAAATACAACAACATGCTCGTAAATCATAGTCGAACAGAAATCCGCAACATTTTCATAATCAAAGGCACGGAGTCGTACTCGACTCCCGCGCTGTGTTTAGAGTACAGTCATGATAAGTATCATCCAATGACTTATGTGGACTTTGAGCGCCTCGTGCATCTTGTGGCGGAGGCATTAACACTAAGAGTTTGCCCCGTAACTGAAGTACGTAACATGAGAGCAGTGCATGGCAATAGCAAGACCTGTGCAATGGGCAGTACAGCCAGCCCATGTCACAGTTGCGCAGTCTTGACCGTTGGCATTGGCAGTACATGTAATGAGCAACCATACTTTTCTTATTACATTCTTGTCTTGAACGTTTCAGTCAGTGCCTCTATAATAGTTGGCTGGCTATGGTGTTGTTCGTGTTCCTATGTTGATGCGTGTCTTTCCTCCAGGCGGCTGATGCAGGCATAGCTTACACATTAGCGTGGGACCTGAAGGTATCTCTCCTGAAGG